CTCTCTCTGTTTTTCATTATTACATTTTTCAAAAGCAGTGTTTCCCCTTTTGAACCTAGGGGTGATATAAATTAGCAGTCTTTTTTCTCAATGGTAGATTACTCCAGTTCAATCTACTTGCTTTCCCAAGATCCTTGTAATCTTTTATCACACTTTCCTTTATTGTGCATTCTAGTTCTTTTCTAGGACCCCTTTTAGGAATGGGATACAGAAATTGGATACATCTTACAACGCCTACTTTCTCCCTTCCCCTTCTAATCCAATGGCTTGATGGCCATTCTGTGAACATCAGGACAGGCTGGCATATGGTGCAGTGACAATGAATCCCAATATCTCAACAACTTAAAGCAAGAAAGTTATTTCTTGCATATGCTGTATGTCCATTGTGAATTGTAGGGAATTCTGTTCATCATAATTACTTGGGAAGTAGGCTAACAGAGCATGAATCATTTTCAACATTACTAGTTGCTGTACTGGGGTGGGAGGGAGAAATTAAATGGTTGGCTTGCAAGAGACACATATTTACATTCAAATATCTTTGGCCAGAACTGTAAGTCAAATGGCCCTATTCAACCACAGGGTGTATAGGAAATACAATTTCACCATGTCCCCAGGGAGATGAAAAGCAAGAAGTCTCTGATTTTATGGTATTAATGATTTTGCCAGATGGCAGATGTTGACCCCTTTGAAAGGAAATGAGATCAAAGTTAGAGTCCTTCTTGGAAGGGGCTGAGGTCAAAGTTAAAAACCAGAGAAAAGGAATCTGAAAAGTTACAAAGAAATTCCACTTGTATTAGATGACCCATTCTTTTTCACCTATTGAATTTAACTGGGACCTGTTAGGCCCTTTATTATTGACACTAGAGGCCCGATGCATGAAATTCATGCACTGGTAGGGTCCCTAGGCCTGGCCTGTGATCAGGGCCGACTGGGGCCTTCCTGCATTCCGCGCCACCCCCTGGTGGCCAGCACATGTCATAGCGAGTGGTCAAACTCCCAGTCGGTCAAACTCCTGAGGGGACAATTTGCATATAAGCCTTTCATTATCTAGAATGAGCCTTTTCAATATGTCCCAGAAAAGAAGTATACTCTATTAGAACATGACTAAGCTCCAAGACATTATATTATAAAGTAGTATGATTGCATACTCATGAATTATAGTCCAAATATACATACAATAAGAACTGTTCTTTTGAAAACAATTTTGGACAAACTTTTATTCTGGCATTCCTCTTATCTAAAATATACTTAGAACCCCAATTTTAGTATTTCTTTCAGAGTGCGGTGCATCCTTTTGAATATTCTCCTTGATTATTGGGCTTTATTGGCAAAGTTTTATTAGGTACCTTCAATATGTCAAATATTATACTAGATGCTGGGTGTTTAAAAATGTGTAAATCACAATCTCTTGAGGAACTATGTCAGGTGAGATACACAGCCCATAATAGTGATACTCTTAGTAATGGGGGAATATGAATTCTAGCTGCTCATAGAAATTTGGAAAGGAGAAAAAAATAAATTACATCCATACATAAACGCACAAGAATTTCGATGTATACAAGAAGAGCATGTCAATAAACATCTGACTCATGATGAACTTGGAAAATACTCAGAATTCCAATCAGATATAACTTTAAATAGGCAGAACTAGAAAATGTGATAATAAAGAAATCGGAGATATTTCAATTTCTCAGGAACAAAATGTGCAGTTGATGTGTGTTGTCCAGCAGGCCCAGAAGTTGTCAGGTACAGGAACTCCACTGTGCTGTGTGGTGTTAAAGGCTGGTTCCCCTACCCCCACCAACACCTGGATGAAACACTCCTAAGGACAACTTTCTCACTGTGCCGACTCTACGCTCACCTGGCATCTTTCGGGTGACTCTGTCTCTTTTCCTAGGTATCACGGCACTGGAAACCTTAGTCGTTGGAAAGCAGATAGGGTTAGATACAATTTCTGCATAAAACAAAAACCTCACAAGGCAAATCCAAGTTGAAGGTGCTAATAGGACTAGATTAACTGCTTGATAGTTTTTGAAACACATTACTCAAATTCAAACTCTGTAATAAATTATTAGCGACAAATAATCCAATAAACAGTGAACATCGGCTGGGAGGTAGGGAAAAAGAATCCTCCTCCACTGCTTGTTCTTGTGTAAAGGGGTTGCCTGGAGAGCGCAGATCCTCCTCAGGTAAGATCCCAGAGAAACTGGCCACAGCAACAAATTACGCAAAACTGAGCGGCTTAAACCAATAAGAAGCCTTTATTGTCTCGTCTTTCTTTGTGGGTCAGGAATTCAGGAGTGGCTCAGCTGGGCAGTTTTGGCTGAGGGTCTCTTGTGAGGTTGCAGTCAAGATGTCGGTGGGGCTCCAGTCACCTAAATGTCTGCCTTGGGCTGAAGGGTCCGCTTCTAAGATGCCACAGTCACTTTGTTGTTGAGTTGGTGCTAGGTACTGGCTGTCTCTTTAGGGGTGCTACAATGTCCTTATAATATAGTGTAGTTGGCTTTACCCAAGGATATCTTATTTTTAAACATTTTAAAAATGTTTTTATTGATTTGAGAGAGAGGGAGAGAGAGATAGAAACATAAATTATGACTCCCATCATCAATCAGTGACCTCCTGCACGCCCTCTATTGGGGACTGAGCCAGTAATCCAGAGATGTGCCTTGACTGGGAATCCAACTGTAACCTCCTGGTTCATAGGCTGACATTCAACCATTGAGCCACACTTGCTGGAAAGACTATCTTATTTTTAAAAGAAAATGATCACTCTTGAAAAATTGTTCTTTTGTGTGTGCGTCTTTTATTTCTCAGTATGAGCCTCTCAAACACCAGACGTTATCATCAAATAAGCCACTTGTATACCATCTAATATAAATTAACATAAGCATGTATCATCCCTAAGGCAAAAAGCCCTCATGAAGAAGACTCCCCAGGATCATCTGGCGGTTTTATAAACACAAAACCACAGACTTTATTCATAGCACCACCTTGTTTCCTGCTCCACATGGTATTTTCTGATTAAGCACCAGTCCCTTAAGGCATCACGGCAATATTTGGTTAACAGAAACTGACATATTTACATAATAACAGCTGATTTTTATGTAAGTCTTCACAAACAGTCTAGGGATTTTGTAAAATACTCTGTGGCTTTGAAGCATTTTCAAGCTAGGAATATTTTCTTCAAAACTTTGCCTTCACCATTAAAAGCCATTCTCTAAGGACTTGACCCAAGGGCCACTTCTGCACAGGCAACAGCTACACACGGAGCCAGTGTGCTCCCTGGCGCCTCCAGAGCCCAGCAAGGTGTCGCGTCACTTTTCATGAGTGCTGCACTTCGTGTCTCATGATTTATTAGACTAATTTATATGATGGAAATTTCTTACTGATCATGGGGTGATGTGTCTACCAAGAAGAGACATTCCTCTTACCAGAACACCTTAAAATTTATTTTAATATTTTCATATTGAAAATGTAAAAAACCAACAACCAACCAAAAAAACGTGGCCCAGAGTTTCAGAGACACATGAAAGTTTTATCACGTGACTTAATACCACCCCACCTTCCCCGAGCTCTGTGTTCTTTGAACCACACTCTGCTGCTCCTCTCTTATGATTCTATAAAAATCAAATTTAAATTAATTGTTTTTAAAAGACTATATTTTCAGATTAAGAAAAACTAAAAACTAGTTTGTAAAAGTCTTTATTGTATCCGTGCCACACATAGTAGTGAAAAATAACACTCCTAAAAAAAAGAATGCTACCTTTTCCACAACATTTTATTTTAAATAAAACTTCAAGTACTCTTACATAGATACAAAAAAAAAGTCTGATCTATTTGCCTCCAAACAGGCCACCACAACACACAGTAGATAAAACACAGTGGTTACAAATGTCTTTTAAATTTATTTCTGAGGCAAGGCAAATGGGAGGGAAATGTTTCTATGAAAAAATACTGTGTGTGTAGGAAATTGTCACAATTTTATTCCACATGGATACAAATGATTATACTTTAATTTAGGCCCTGGTGGCTTAAAATTATATAACAAAATAGAAAAAATGGAAAACTAATATCCCCTACACCCTGTTTCAAAGGCAGGCACTACCAAGATCAAGGAGACGCCACAGTGTTGGTAGAGGATAATTACTGTACAAGCTGTAGAGCTGTAATTACCTTCAGACTAAAATAAAATGCTACAGTCCTTCTAAGGCATAAACAATAATGTCTGCAAACAATATATACACATAATACATATTTAAAGCAAGACGCAATATAAACAATAATGAACAGTATATACATGTCAACTTTTCTTCACTGTCTTGAAATACAATTTAACTACACAAGTGATGCAGCAACATATATTTATATATATATAAATGTACTTGTAACTCTACAGTAAAGTTTATTTTTGGTGCTTTTATAGCACATCAGTGTAAACAGTTTAACTTGGCTTTGTTTTATATTTTAAAACATTCCTTGTTGTATTTTTCAAGATTTAAAGCAATTTACTAGTTCTTCCTTTTCACAGAAAACGAAGATTCTGGATGTGGTTTAATCATAAATAATTCATAAAATTAAATACATTCACTAAAAAATAAACTACAAAGTAAAAAAATGAAAAATAGATATTTATTGAGAGGGAAAGGAGAACCATTCCCCACGTTAGAGCTCTGGTGTTGAATATTCAGTGCGATTTGATATATTTTAATTGCTATTGCACTATAACACCCTTTCCTTTGAAAATTCTTTGGGTGTGCTTCCCTGTTCTACCTAAATTAGCTGATAAATCACACAAACCAATAACCAAGGGCCTTGGTTGTTGTAGGAGTGAAGCCTTTAAAAATGGTATCATTCTTCTGATACTTTTTTTTTTTTTGTGATACTTATTTTAAGGAAAAAAGTCATTATATATGTGCCTTGCACATTTATGTAAATTCAGTTCACATTGCTGGTCTCATTTGTCCTTGTTTAAAAGGAAGAAAAAGAAAGAGATTATAACTTCAGCTCACTTTGAAAGTATCTGTCCACTTTTTTTCAAAATACTTTCTCATACTGTGGCCAGCTCTGCCTATGTCAGAATCATCTTCATTAAATGTTTCACAGTTGTCAAACACAAGCCTGACATCCAGAGCAAAGGACTCAGGGCTTGGATACCTGGGAAAAAAAAAAAAACATGATTTAGAGGTGGCTTTGTTTTGTAACCAAATGAAGAGGTAATAAAAGGTAAAATAAAAGGAAAACTGAAAGGGAAAAGAAATAGATTAGGATACCTGCATTTAAAGTGATAGAAAACATATTATACCCTCTTATACATGGAATGTGTAAAATAATTGCATGTGGTCTGAACCACATAGGATTTAAAGACAGGTGAAATGGAAAAACAGATTTCTCTGAAAAAGAAAACAAGGTAAATTTCAACTTACTAGCATTTTCCCCACATCCAATTTCCCAGTTAACCTATATCACAATTCTGTTTTAGGACTCATCCCATGTGATTCATTTATTTACACCTCTGACCAACTGTATCCCTCACAGTACCCCTATTGTTCGCATCCAAATATTTACTTGCACTAGATATAAGTGCTTCCTATGCACTGTCAACACTGTACTTGCCCTCTGGCTTCTACATACATCCCACTTCTCTTCTCTCTTTAAATATGCTCTTTTGCTTAAGTATTGGGAGTACGATGATCCAAAAAAAGCAGAAAAGCATGCGCTGCCCCTTCACCCCGAAGAGCATTATGAGGAACTGGCTTTCAATAAGCAGCATTGTGGCTCAGTGCTCTTTTAGTGGGATAGCCCACTTCTCTTTTTCTGTCTGAACATGAGGAAGAGAACACAAAAGTGAATGAATCTGCCTAAACTTATGGGTAAGGAAGGAGTGGTTGGTTTCAGGGCTTATGGAAATTCAAATTTAAATGAATTCCAACTTATGATAAGCTAGTACTAAGATAACTTTCCCATCATAAATACCTTTGCAACACATGCTAAAGCTCTGAGCAACCTGATAAAAGTGGAGGTATTTTTTTTTTTTATTAAATAACGTGGACACTCCCTCCTTCTTTTATTATGTGCAACAATAAAAGAAATAGTATTTTTTTTTCTATAATGAGCTCACAGAGTTAATTCAGGCCTTATATATAACATTATCCATCTCCTGCTCTTCTTGCAATTATTATTTTTTATCGAGGCTAAATTCAAATAACACAAAATTAACCACTTTAAGGTAGACAATTCAGTGGCATGTAGTATGTTCACAACACTGTCCTATTACCACCTCTATCTGGTTCCAAAACACATTGTCCTTTAAGCAGTCTCTCCCCATTCCTCCCTATTTCCACCTCTGGGCAAGCACCCATCTGTGCTCTGGAAATTCCTCATAAATGGAATCATATAACATGTGTGTAATTCGTATACAACAGTTTAGAGCTGCTTTGAGAAATACTTATCTCTGTAGGCTGTTCCTTACCATAGGAAAGGTTAATGATTAATGCTAGGGAGACTGGGACGCCGGAGAGAATTTGAGGCAATGTTCAACGTTGGGATGAGATCAAGGCAACCCCACTCCGTGCCCTTCTTTTATAGAATAATGGGCGCTGAGGAAACCCAGCAGTTTTCATTAACATGGGCCCTTGCAGGAACACTCTCTGTTCTATCCTCTTCTAGTTTTAAAATATGAAACACTGTTTGCGGGTTTTGGTTCCGACGCATTAGGTTGGGTTTAACTGAACAATTCACGCCAAAGGAGACTGAATCCACTGAATCCTGCCTCCCACACATCTGGCATCACAGACAGGACTGGAGCAGGCTGTTTCTCTGCCTGCCTCCGTGTGATCTCCTCCGCTCACCAGGATTCATTCTCAAACGGGAACTTGGATCATATAGCTCTTTTGGTAACTTTGTCTTAAATGTCTGTTTGTTTTGGGAGTTTGGAGGTTGAGGTTCATCCTCTCCAGGAATTCAAAGAATCATGGACGTTAAAATCATTAGTTACTTTAAACATGGCCAAGTCTCCCTGTGTACATACATCTTGTCTGGCATGGTGATTATAAAGTCCCTTTACTACCCCCTAAACACCCAATTGGAAAAAGCAAGGTGACTAGTCCATATCTATACAGCCGCTTTTGCTGTTTGGTTCATATAAGAACCAATAGTTTTAATGATTATAAATGTTTTCTGAGTTTATAATGTTTTCTGGGCAGGTCCTTTCTATAATTAAAAAAAACAACAACAATCCTTTGAGAGACTGACATTTCAATCTTCAAAGAAATAAAGTAGTCATTTGGTCAATCTAATGAATCCTTTTATATCAGAGGGACACTCATTATCCGTTAAGCTCTACTCAACTCTTCTAAATTGAATGTAAATTATGGAGCACGGTGATTTTCACCAAAGGAATGCCAGGAAGAACTAAATAATATACTACATAATAATGAGAATCACAACAACAAAGATAATTACACTATAATTTGTAGTTATTCTTTCAATGTAAAGTTCCTTCTTTCTCCATATTTTCTGAGACTTTGCCAGAAGTGATGGGCATGAGCTACATTAAGCTAAACCGGGATATGGGAAGAAAGGGAGCAGGGAGGGGTAAGAAAATACAGCTCATAGACACTGGCCATGCACACGTGGCTGCCTGCAGGTAGGCTTGTTCTGTCAAGTGAACAGCCTCCTTCTTGTGGCTCCAAGATGGGCCAGCATCAAGAGCTATTTAAGCCGAAACTGGTTTGGCTCAGTGGATAGAGCGTCGGCCTGCGGACTGAAAGGTCCCAGGTTTGATTCCAGGCAAGGGCATGTACATTGGTTGCGGGCACATCCCCAGTAGGGGGTGTGTAAGAGGCAGCTGATCAATGATTCTCTCTCATCGATGTTTCTAACTCTCTATCCCTCTCCCTTCCTCTCTGTAAAAAAAACACACAATAAAATATATTAAAAAAAAAAAGCTAGTGAAATCCCATTAACAGCTGCTATTCTCTGGCAGGAGCCTGAGGTGGTCTAAGATCATGAACTGTGGCCTGCAAGTTGTTCTTCAGACAGGGTCACAAGGAGAATATGGGAGGGAGGAGCAAATAATAGTTTTGTTCCACACTTAAAATACATATTTTTTGGAATCCTCCAACAACTCATAATTAAGTTTTAAAACTTAAATTTTCTAGTGCTCTTCCATCTCTACATGTAATAATCTGACAACATTACAGGATCACTTTTTATTAAATCCACATGAGACGATGTGAACACTCCATGGATGCCCAAAAGAAGCTCCAGCTCACACATTACTCACTCACTGTGGGAGGCTTCCTCCACACTTTTCTTCTCCCAGGTGGAGTTCAGTGACCTTCTAATGTCAAAAGCAGCTTTATTACACTCCTTTTTAATTGTTTAAATAATTGTATTTGACTTGTCATCCATACCATATCACCCTAATCAAAGAACAACAACAACACACACACACACACACACACACACACACACACACACTCAAAAAGAGTCAGGGCTGTAAGTTAATGTACTTTTGGCTCAGTAAGAAATTATCTAGCAATATCAAGCATTCAATAAATATTGAACTGAAATGGTTTACTTACTGTCCACTACTTAATTTCTCTCTAATTGTGGAAAAATCCATAGGCTTCTTAATAACTTTCTTATAACCAGGAACAAGTTTCAAGTTTACAGGAAGTAGAAAAGGCCATGCGTCCTCATGCGTTTCCATTTCAGTGAGGATCATACTAAAGAGAACAATGTTTGAAGTCAATATTTAAGCAGAATTATCTATTTTTATTAGATACAAATGTAGCTTTTGTAATTTTTCAAGAAAAACAATGCAAATTAATTTATTAAAAGAGGTAAAAGAATACATTTACTTGTACTATAGGCTTTTATATTTTTCTATTTATACAAATTGTGAGAAGATCTCTAAACAAATAAAATGGGGTTGTCATGAATATGTAGTGCATAGCAACTGAAATAATACCTGCAAAGAGCTAGGTCCTTGGAATCATCTTGTTTAGGTTTCTTAATAGAAGCAAAGCTTTCTTGCTTTGACAAGTTCATGGAAGTGCTTTCCTCCATTTTCCTCTTTTTCAGGTCTTTGCTTCCTCTTTTCAGTGAACTGCTTGCAGATGCAGAGTCTTCATCTTCAGTATCCCCTGTCAAAGGTCCTTTCTTTGCTTTCTTTGAATCACTAGTCTTTTTTCCTTTAACATGAAGTTTTTTGAATTTTAGAGTTTGACCACTCGCCTTTAATGAAAAAAAAAAAAAGTAAATGAGGCATAATAAAAAGATGTAGGAAGTTAATAATTTTATTATTTTCAAAAGAGATCTACAAATTTGTTCTCTTATAAGGCTGAAACCTAATAAACCTGAAAAATCTATCCTAAGAAATCTTAAAACACGAAGACACTGATCTCAGGGTAATCCACCTTTACTACAGAACTTATCAGCATCATTCCTTTAATTTAGATCACTCACTCACTTGTTTAAAGATAAAAAAGACTATTTATTTATTTGTTAGTTTAGTTAGTTATTGATTTTAAAGAGGGAGGGAGAGGGAGAGAGAAACACCAGTGATGAGATTCATTGATCGGCTGCCTCCTGAATGCCCTCCATGGGGATCGGCTGCCTCCTGAATGCCCTCCATGCAACCCAGGCATGTACCCCAACCTGGAACCAAACTGTGACCTTCCGGTTCATAGGTCAACGCTCAACCACTGAGCCACAGTAGCCAGGCCAAAAGTACTAACTTTTAAAGCACAATATAATAAAGAACAAAGACGAATAGAAATAAAAATATAAAGCTTATTAATAAGAAAGTTGAAAAGGTAATTAGAAAGCTAGGCCAAGACATAAAAAAATAGCTCATGAAGTACCCAATAGAGAAAAAGTCCTGTCTAAGGTCAAATCTACTGGAAATTGATTTTATTTTTCTGGATAAAGGAAAAAAAAATGCATTTGCTATAAGAAGTCCACAAACCGTTCTGAGGTATGAGATAAATGTGGAGAAAGCAAAGTTTTGTGCTTTAATACAAAAGAGCCTGGAGTCTTTGGGGGAGGTCTCTCTCTCTCTCTCTCTCTTTCTCTCTCTCTCTCTCTCTCACACACACACACACACACACACACACACACACACACACACACTCCTTACTCCCCTCTTCCCTGGCCTGGTGAAATCTTCATGTAGAAAGTTAACCCTAGCTCCTCACTGGAGTGGCCTCTATTTTGTTTTATTCTCTCACAAGGTTTTTTTCTAACCTCTAAGCAGGCAGTCGGACATCCCCAGAGAGGTCCCAGATTGTGAGAGGGTGCAGGCCACACTAACAGACCCCTCCCTCCCATGCATGAATTTCTTTCACTGGGCATCTAGTTGAATCATAATATTGCACACCTGAAACTTATAAAACGTTATTAACCAATGTTACCTCAATCTAAAAAAAAAAAAAAAAAAAAAAGCTTTAGTTTTTATTGATCTTACCTTAGCAATGCAAGCTGGACAAAACCAGTCCCCATCTGGTATGGTTGTTATCTTGGGTCTATGGCAGTAGGTGTGACAGCCTTTGTCACAGCCGTCACAAAGGAGGAGCAGTTCTTCATTATCTCCCTTTCGACAGATTTGGCAGTACTATAATACATGGAAAAGCATTGAAAATTAGCACTCTGCTGCGAATAATACCTACTGGGATATTCAACAAACCGTCACTCCTAGTTTACATTAGTAATGAACATTCCGCTTGCTAACAAATATATAGTAGCCATACACATCTATGTATCTCTCGTTACACAGATATGGACCACATGACGGGTGAGCAGTTCAATTGGGGTAAATGCACATTTCAGGTACACTGCAAAGAACAAAGCTAGAGTCGGGTGCCTGCACACACTTCAGAAGCATGTACACATTAACATATGAAATAATCAACATGACATCAGAGCACATAAAGCAATGAATAGCTTTAATACATGATGTTTTAATTTTTAAATATATTTCATTTTTTGCTTATCTTAGCATCCTCATGATATCCTGAGAAAGAAATAAGAGTTAATTTTTAAGAACAAAATTAGGTTAGCATTAGTATCAGAATTATACATAATATATGTAATTTTAAAAAGTCCTTATATTTTGACTAAAGTATCCATCTATATTTTTTATAATTGATTAAAAAATGAGTCCAAACTAGGAAACTGGGAATCAATCCAAATCAAACATGTGTCACAAATGTAGAAAATGAATCCTACAAAATGATTACTTAGAGGGAAAAAATCACACAATAAATTAAAGAATTTAAGAGGTCATGATTTTTTTATAGAATTAAAAATAAACTATTTCTTCTGTTAAAAAGGTTTCTAATACCATTAAGAACTTTGACATTATAAAAAGGTTTCCCCCAATGCATACATATTCTGTATAACAAGTTTCACAAAGGAAAAGGAGAGTTAGACAAGTAAAACTTTTAGGATGACTTTTAAAAATGTAAGTACTAACATTATATTTTGCATTTAGTTTATATCTGGTCATAGTAGAACATGTCATGCAACCAATATATTTAAAATGAAAATGTTTAAACTATAAATCACTTATACTGATATAAAATTATGTATTTATGTACTCTAAAAACAAAGTTAGCTTAACTGTTCAAACTTCATTTTTTATTCTCAATACAATTAATTTGGGAAAGATTAAAATAAGTCTTATATAACTTAATATATACAACAATGATAGCTTAAGAATCTTATCAAAAAGGCAGACATACATTATTCAACTTTAAAAATATCAAATATAGTGTCCCCCCCCAAAAAAATGCATGCACATTTTGAATAATTATTAACTCCAATGGGAGTTGAAAAGAAACATCAATTGAGCTACTGGCTATTAAAGTGTGTATACAATTTTTTTGGTACACCCTATATATGTAATATATATAATATTAAAATGGCATGTATACTAATGTTGCAACAGTATTTACTTTATGACCTTACCTAATATCACATTGTTTAATACCTAAAGACAGTGATATTTTTCCAAGTTTGAGTTACATTTTTAAAACTTCTATTGCAAAAATATTCACTGAGAAATAACATTTGGAAGATTATATTTAAATCACTATAACTAAAATTTAAAAATCAGATTAATGAACATTAAGTAAATTCTCACTATTTTCTACAATAGATAACTAAAAATCACATCTCACATTTGTGATTTAAAAATATTTTTTCCTGGCAATTGTTAAGAAAAGGTGACAGATATTAAGTTGTTAACACTTTCAAAAAAATCACAATAATAGCTCACAATATGTTAGAACAAATGTACTAACATTTGGTTTTAACTCCCTTGCTCCTAGAGTCAAATATAGTAGACATTGCTTTTTGTTTAACATTAATAACAACATAACGCACACTGTGGGCAGAATTTATCTGGAGATAAATTACAACAGCTTCTTCCATCCTGGTAAGCTTTGTCTTTGGCAAAAAAGGTATATCTAAAGATATCTAGCCCTTTAACTTTTTGTTATGACTTATAATGAATATTATTATAGTTACTGTAACATTTCTAATTAAAGGTTAAAAACTGCTCATTTATCTTTGAATATGAGATTCTGCCTTCAATTTAAGGTAATTTCATAGCAAATAATATATTGTTAAGCATTAAAAAAAATGAAGATTATTAGAGATGTAGTTATATAATGATAAATATATGATAATATATGGTAAAGGTTTATGAATTTGTAAAAACCGAAATAAAGCTTTAGACAGCAGAAAGTAAGTATACTAACATAAAGGCAGATTTTGGTATAAGTTTTGGGTTTCTGTTTATAGGTTATAACAAAACTGACCACATCGGAATGACAGTTGTGGAACAGATTAGAAAAAATAACTATACAAAATTCATTTTGTTGTAGCAATTCAATCTTTTTCATTCATTATAGCCTAGATTTCACCAAATATATTTGAGTACATGACTTTAAAACTGATTTTAATGCTAATTTTGAGAAGAAAAAATTTTACTTAGCAAAAATGCTAGCAGATGAACTGAACAATGCCTTAAAATTTATGTTAAATTATAATCTGGGTTGGGAAAGACCTAAATTTGATAATATAGTGAAAACTACAGATTCATTATTCCATGGACATTTTAGGAAGAAGTAGAAAATCACAGGAGAAACCAAATCTATTCGTAAAGAATGAATAAGGCCTTGAGTAGTCTAAGCATAGAGGTAAAAATGAAGAATGTTAAATTATGTAAGGATCATTTCTTTTCTTTGGGAAATGATTATTTTAAGCAAATGCTTAGTCATTCTTGACAACAAATCTCATATATTTGAATTTTAAAGGAAACCTGTAATTCAGAAACAAATGTTAAGCTAATTAGTAAAGTCTACACATACTAGGTATTACTAAATGTGATATAGAGGCAAAAGAGACATGTACATGATTTAAAATAACTTTCTAGAAAATATATGAAATATAGCTTTTATTTTGAACACATAACATTTGGTGCCTGGTACAAAACAGGCCATTATCTCTCTATCCCTCTCTTTTCCTCTCTGAAATCAATAAAAATATAATTTTTTTAAAAAAAAAGATCTATTCTTCAAGTCATCTATATCAGAGGCCATATACATATCAGTGCACAAAGGATGAAGTCTCTGCTTATATTTACTTCTCTAAGTATTCCTTAGGATTAAAAAATGAAAACTGATAGAAATATAAAGACATTTTAGGAATGCAGTGAATGTAGATAGCAGGTAATATTACCAACTGGAATGTTAACAAAAGTAGAAGGATTTTCAAATATATAAATTAACAACTATTTCGTTGACAAAATATAGAAGACAACTTCAGCTAGAGTTATTAACAATATTCAGCAGAGGGATAATAAAAACAGAAAAAGAATACATTTGATAGATTCCTTCAGAAAGCTCAAAATAAGGAAGAAAGAGTCAAACTAATGCAGAATTAAGATGAGCAAACTCTCAAGTACAGCATACATTATTTTGAAAATAAGTAATGTACAATTAAGGAAGATCTGAAGATTAGGGGGAAAAACAGGACAAAGTAAATCAGTTATAGTATTTCTTAAATGAAAACACTTACAACTTTCATAATTGATTTTTCCCATGCTATTGATTTCTGTAACTGCTGAACGCACAGAGCTACCTGTGCGGCACTGCGGGCGTCTGACAGTGCCCTTCTCCATACCCTGAGCCCTGGAGCAATATCCTCTTCAACTCTGCATTGAAATATAGAAAAATTGAGTAGGTCATGTCCACATTTATGGTTACTGAATGTGCAGCAATCATCACACTGAAAGCCAAGCAATGACAAAAACATGGAACAGCCAATAAGTATAAGGTTTAAGCAACTAAATCTGATGTAGTGCACAGACTGTGGCTACGTGCCTCGAAGCTTAGTCACAACCAGGTAAAAATGTAAGATTACTTTGCAGGATTATCAATGCACATAACAAAAACAAACAAACAAACAAAAAAAAAAGTTTTTACAAAGCACCATGCAAATAGCATGATCCATATGGATCAAACAGCATGATCCATATGGATCACAGACATACAAGAAGATACATAGATAACAGGCAAATAGAAAAATAGGCTCCAATTAGCAAAGAAGCACAATAATTTTTCAAGTTAATCTCAATAACCTACCCGTCACCATCACCACTAATGGATGGTGCAGGAGCAGGGACAGTAACTGTGCCCACATTATCCACTTTGATCTGAATGGTGGTACTTAAGGGGCTCTTCAGATACCTTCTTTCAATGTTCCGCTCCAAATCAGCCAGCCTGGTTACAGCTATATCTAGGGGGTTGTCACTCTTCCGTTCTAGTGCATGTGCACTGCTTTCCTCTTCGCCAGTAAACTCTCCAGCATGCTCCTTGCACAATTTAGAGAATGACTTATGTTCAAAATATACCAAGTCCTCCCTTTCTGATGCAGGCTCTGGACACATCCAACCCTATATATCGAGAGAATAACGTTATTATGGTTTTCTTTTAAAGTGCCCAGTGGGTGAATTACCTTTACTTAAAAGTCAGCAGCAAACACCAGCAGATCTCAAGGATCTTTATTAATTTTTTTTTTTTACCTTGTCTTTCCTAATGGTGGTGGGTAGAAACAAGAACAGAACATTAAGACAAGCAGTTATAAGAAAAATAAAAAAATAAAAACTTTAGATAATACAAAAGGTATAATGAAAACCAGTAAAGTATTCTGGAGACTAAATGCTTGTTAATTTCATAGGACCACACGCTGGTAAACAGAAACCCTTCAGCAGTCTCTGAACTTCGCTCTTCCTTTCCGCTTGCATTCCTGCACCACTCCTTGACGCAGGTCCTTGTACTCACCATTTTCCCTCTGGCTGCAGGCGCTTTGCATAGCTGCTGTGTTTGTCTGTATATCTTTCCCTGTTCCTCCTCACCTAGTTACCTCCACTCTCCCTGCAACTCCCACGTAAGTATTTGCATCCTCAGGGAATCCTTCCTTGAGCTCCCTTAGGGGGTAAATCTCCCATACAGGCTTCTCATAGGGCCGTATAACACTCCATAGCCTGGTGGCAGTCCCATTTTATACTTCTGTGCTTATTTGGCATTTTCCTACCTCTAAATTCCATGCAGGCAGGGAACATTCTGCTTTTACTCATTTTATCTAAAACTCAGTGAAGGCAAATAGTAGGCATATATATAATAAATTATTATAACTCAGCTTGCTTATATTGATCCTCTAGCTTCAAGGATTCCCTGTTTAACAAAATCCAAACTTTTTCTATGACTACCTTTCTGTCTCATGTTCCCATTCATGCATCCTATTCTGCAGACAGATGTCTTGTGACTCCAGACATGTCCCGAGCTTGCTGATCCTGGTGCTGTGCTCATGCTGTTCTCTTCCCACCCTGGAATTCATATTCTCTGACTGTGAGAGGATTACTCATCTTCTCAAGTTCCATCTCGGCTCCTTCATTAAATCTGCCTGATCTCCATTTCATCACCAGAAACTGTGTATTCTTTTTCTAAATTCATGGGAGATTCTGTACTTCACTGCAGTCAATTACCAGATTCTGCAGAGATATATACATGTCCTATTATATGGCAAGCTTTCTGAAGGCAGAAACCATATATATTTTTTAAAATTCTGTGGTTTCTACTGTCTGATATGGAATAGGTATGTACAAAGTGCATATTAAAGGAAAATCAGAATGAACATTATCTTTTTTATTAAAAAATGTAAGAGATAATTATTTTATCTTTATATTAGGATCAATTCTTCCTCTTTAACCCAGTAGAATATTTATAAGTAAGGATGGAGTTCTGAATAATACACATAAGTGGATTAGGTACAAGTTATGTCACATGAACCTCATTCCCATCTTTTGAGAGAAATATGAAATAACTAAATCAAGGGAAGGAATCCTGTAAATACAGTATATCTTGATTTCTACAAGGCAACTGATAAGACAAAAAAAGAAAAAAAGAAAAAAGGAAGACTATATTAGAGTAAGAGAAGTCTAGATGGTAAAAGACACTATGTCCAAAAACTGGTGATTGATAAAGCTCGTCAGCTCAGAAAAGGTGTAAAGAAGGCAATGTAATGCATAACATAACTGCCACTATCCAAAGGCTCCATATTTGGCCAATACACTTATGAATAACTCTGTTGATGGCTATTAAATCTTCAGGTGACTTAAAGTTTTGAAGAAAGTTAATATTCTTTATGAAAGGACTAAAGATTAAAAGTTTCATATGCTGAAAATGGTACCTAAATGAAATTAATAAAAATAGAACAATCTATATATACTAGAGGCCTGATGCACAAAAATTCATGTAAGAGTAGGCCTCCCTTCCCCCGGCTTCCCTCCAGTGCTTGGCAGGCACTGGGGACCCGGGCTGCACTCTGGCCCTGGCTTTGTCCAGAATGATGTCTGGAAAGATGCCCAGTCCAATTAGCATATTACCCTTTTCTTATTATAGATACAAGGCTAAGTGACTGACCAACCAGCTGACTAGCTGACTGGCCAGTAGGTATGATGCACAGTGACCACCACGAGGTAGACGCTCAACGCAGGAGCTGCATGGACCCCTTGGGGATGTCAGACTGTCGGATCCCCACAGGGACCCCACCTGCTGGAGGGACCCCACTCACTCCACAGATGGCCTTTGAGCCCCAGTGCCACTGGCCAGGGAGGGACCATGGGAGGTTGGCTCCAGGGCATGTCTGGCCCATCCTGCCCAGTCCTGGCCCTACCGGCCACCTTCTAATTAGTTTCTTTTCAATGTGCACGAATCTGTGCACTGGCACTATTGATAAATTTTAAGCTCTGCACTTTAAGCAATTAATAACAGAAATACTGCATGTGATAGAACTCACTTAAAAGCACTCTGAAAGAGGCTTGGGGATTTTTTTAAAGCATATACTCAGTGAAGCAATGGTATGTATGATGTAGATGGTGAAAAGGTAAAGAATCCAAGTAGCATTAAGAGAAGTATAGCACTGGATTAAGGAAGTCTCCTGAACACATTCCGACATCTCTATGTACAATGATGAGCATAATATTTTAAGAAGAGTACTGAAACTGGTGTTTATTCAGAAGAGAACCATGGACCCGGAAACCACTGCACAGGACTCATGGTTGAAAGAATTAATTAGCTTATGAAAGAGAAACTTAAAAAGAGACACAAGATTTGTTTTTTGAGGAGCTGGAAGAGTAATTAGGCTTTTTATGTACTCAGCAATAGAATTAGGATTAGAGATTTGCAGATTTTCCTATAATATAAAAAAGTCCATATTGTTAGAAAAATAATTTCTATTTTCTTACTAAAAATAAAAACGAAAGTTCCACCTGCTTAATGTGTCTTCACAATAGCTAGTTCCCAAGCTAAACATATAACTCTGTTTTCCTTTTAAAAAAGAAACACCGATTAAATCTTTACAGGTGTTAAAATAATGTTCTGTGGTTATTTTCATCACTGTGTTTTCAGACTCAAGACTAATGAAATTAATTTCTTAGAATAATTCAGCAATGCCTTATTAACAGGATGTTAAAACACCCCACTTAAAAAAACAAATTCCACTTTTCTTAGCTACTGAGAACACATTCCCAAAACATTTAAGCAGCCAGTAACTTGATAAGGTCAATGCACCAAAACTGAGGATACTTCCAGAAAACTGTTTCAGGCCCAAAGAGCTTGATGATATACTTCCCCAACCATTAGCCAATTTGAATTGGGAAACTAGGTGGTGGTGGAGGTGTTGCAGGAAAATAGGTTTGAGAGAACCAATAAAATTAAAACTAGCACATAGCAGCAACTAACCATGAGAGAGAACAAAGACAGACTATAGAAAACAGATGAAGTATTTGAAAAAGCAAAGCACACTAGGATCATTTAATTTAGGGGCAAAACCTCTCTGCATTTCCTGAGGGAATCATTATCTATTAATTGCTCTTTATACTGATGGTCCTGTGTCACCACCATAATTTAAATCAAACTCATTATTCTCAATTTAAGAAGACAGTGTAATGCATAACATAAGCCATCCAACAAACATGTTAAAAATTATGGCACTAATTGAAATAATTTTTATTTCTCCAGAAAATTAACTTGTGTAGAAGAGTTCATTTGTGGAAAATGCCAGATAAATGAGGCATTTTTATACTGGATTATAGTACCAGGAGGAGAATACATATAGTTTGCTAGCAAAATAGTTTCAGCAAATGATAGATTTTTGCTTCCCAAAGTTAGTAATTATGTTTGTGTCAAAAAAGGGGTATTTTATTGCTCTGGAAAATGACATTTTTTTTTGGAGATGCTCAAAAGTTTCCAACTGCCAGCATTAATTAGGAAGTAAAATTGTAATCATTTGATAGAATAAGTATTATGACATATATCTCTCATTTGAAAATACACCAAATCAAAATACATGGTGACCACATTTTCTAAACCTTTCCAGGTGTCTGTTTCACCCTTATTCATCATTAATCCATTTATTATTAGAGACTCAGAAGAAAAACCTCTACACTTCTCTTTCCAAAGCTAAAAATTCTCACACAAAGATAAAGTCCATTCAAAACCAGTCTAAGCAAGGTTTTGTGACCTGGTAATGCTCATTAGGTAAATAAATTAATTAAAATTTGACATATATATGTAGGGTGTATGTGTATCATAATATAACCTACATTTGGATATAGCTACATATTTCAGTTTTAAATTACATAGAATGAAAGTGTGACATATAACATGGCTTGTATACAAAGAAGTTTCTGGTTCCAGATGCAACACCATAATAGGAGTTTTTTCATGGAAAAAACTGGTATTCTGTTTGTGGTAAACAACTGCATACTGGAAGTGGTATTTTTTAATACTATTAAGGAGGCAGCAAAAATTAATAAGAACATGGGCTTGCCCTTGGTGGTTTGGCTCAGTGGATAGAGAGTCAGCATGCAGACCGAAGGGTCCGGTGTTCGATTCCAGTCAAGGGCATATGCCTGGGTTGCAGGCTCCATCCCCAGTAGGGGGCTTGCAGGAGGCAGATGATCAATGATCTCTCTTATCATTGATGTTTCTCTCTCTCTCTCTCTCCCCTACCCCCTCTTCCTTCCTCTCCAAAAATCAATAAAAATAAAAATATTTAGAAAAGAAAGAAAAAAGAACATGGGCTTTGGAGTTAAAACTTAGTCTGAACCCACATTTAGCCACTTACTACACCTTGTTCCTTACCTGTAGGGTGGAGGAAATTTATTCTGGATTGTTTTGAGAATTAAATGAGATAAAGTAAAAACATTTAGCACAGTAACTGGCACTTATCAAGCATATAATAAATATTAGTTACCTTCCGTTATCCTAAAGAGATTTTATTCCAAGTCAATTTTACCTTTACTTGCAAACTTGCTGATGCAACTCTCCTTTCTAGATCTTCTACCTGCTGAAGAATACTCAAATCCATTTCCATTGCTTGCTCTTCTACTGACCAGTTCTCCACAATATCTCGAGTTACCTGGTTTTCTTCATTTTCATTTAATTCAATAATAGCAACTACATTTGAAAAGAAATTTATTTGAAAAGAAATTTATTTTAAAATCCACTTTATGCCTCAATGCTTTTTTCTAGAACGTGAATAAAATTCCAGAGACAACATGTACATGTTACTTAATACACAAATGCTACCTGTGCATATGCATGCAGCTTACTCTTAAAGGTAGGAATATTCTTTTTTTTTTTTTTTAAAGAAATAAAACAATGTCTGCAAGTTGTAAAAAACTGTAAGGTAGTAATACCAACTTAATAAAAAATATAGCTTAAGATAAAAGGATCAGTTCTCAAAACTAAGCAAGACATCTTAGAAATCTCTTTCAGGAACGTACCATCCTTATTTTTGATGCATGCTTGAGTAATATAATCCAGGTGTTTCTGAATTTGTTTTTGTAATGCCTTTTCCCTTATTCCTCTGAGATGGAGCACTTTGAGCAAAGCTTTTAGGTCTTCCGGGTCAATAATTCTCCACCAACCAAACTGCATTTCTAAGTCAAAATAAATATGCAGATGTTTTACAAATATTTTGAATATGAAGAATGGTGCAATGCAAATAAAAAGATTTATAACTACATATAAAATCATCAAAGAAAGATTCAGCTGTAACACAGAAATCTATCATGAGATAAAGTCAACGTACCTACCAACTCAATGTACCTACCTTCTGGAATAGGTTTTGGACTAGGAAAATCTACTGGTTTTGCTACTTCAACAGCTGCAGGTTGAGTTGAAGAGGCTTTCTCATTCTGTGGTACTGGAGATTCACTTTTACTTGAAGCAACGTTGGGGGTCAAGAATGAATTACCATTTCCTTCAGATAATGCCAACCCTGATCCCAGACTAGGTAAAGGTGATGTAAAAGGAATATTGGAAGTAAGCATGCCAGTGGACCACCCACAAAATTGGAGTCCCATCACAGATACTCCACTTTTCATCTGCAAAAAAAAATAAACAAACAAAACAATTTAAAAGTAGAACAATCTCAGAAGTTTGAAAAAAATGTTTATAATCTGAAATTTTTTTAAAATTCTGAAAAATATTCTTTCACTTATCACAATTACAGGAAAACTAAATATAGTAACAACATTAAAATCCATGTCCTTATTTGCTCTGCAAATATTTTCCTTTAAGATAGAATATAATAGTAATAATTATAAAGTAATTAAGAAGCCCTTGTCTTAGACTTAGACTAGAAATCAGTAGTTCTGATGAAGCTTAGTGATACCAATTCTGACTCTCTTCAGTTTTTAAACTGTAGCAGGGTGCCGAAACCGGTTTGGCTCAATGGATAGAGCGTCGGCTTGGGAACTGAAGGGTCCCGGGTTCGATTCCGGTCAAGGGCATGTACGTTGGTTGCGGGCATATCCCCAGTAGGAGGTGTGCAAGAGGCAGCTGATCGATGACTCTCTCTCATCGATGTTTCTAACTCTCTATCTCTCTCCCTTCCTATCTGTACAAAATCAATAAAATATATTTTAAAAAAATAAATAAATAAAAAATAAACTGTAGCAGGGTTATAAATATTCAACTGATTTCCCTTACGGGAAAATCTTCATGGAGTCAAAGATCAAATAAAGCAACATGAAAATGAGTTACACTGCCGAAACCGGTTTGGCTCAGTGGTTGAGCGTCGGTCTGCGGACTGAAAGGTCCCGGGTTCGATTCCGGTTAAGGGCATGTACATTGGTTGCGGGCACATCCCTGGTAGGGGGTGTGCAAGAGGCAGCTGATCGATGTTTCTCTCTCATCGACGTTTCTAGCTCTCTATCTCTCTCCCTTTCTCTCTGTAAAAAATCAATAAAACATATTTAAAAAAAAAAAAAAAGAATGCAAATTCAAAAAGAAAAAAGAAAATGAGTTACACTTAGCAGTACTAACCTGAAGAGGTGATAAAGCAAATGGATTTAGGCCAACAGGATTCTGGGCAGAGGATGATCCAAGGAGAGGAGCTGGGGCAGGTGAAGGTGACTTAGATGGTGGCTGAGACTGAGGAGTTGACGTAGCAGCAGCTGGTATGTCGGCGTGGGTAAGCGAAGTGTCATCACAAGGGGTTCTGGGCAAAAGGCTAAACCACTGCCTGTTCTTTTCGGTCAGTGTTTTTAACAGCTGGTCGTTGGGGAGAGGGCTATAGAACTTCCCTGGGCCGCCCGAACCAGCACTGAACAGGTTACTAGAGTCTGCCTTTTCCATGCTGCTCTGTGTAGCTGCTGGCTGAATGCTGCCTACTGGGTGTTTCCCGCTGTTCTGGTAAGACACTGTGCACCCACTGGCACTGCTATTTGGTTTGGAGGACATTACATCTGACTCAGAAGGCATCTTGGCTACTTCTAAAAGTTTGCTTAATTTTGAAAAAGAGCCAGGTTTCTGAAGAAATAGGTTTATGTTGTCTTTTTCTTTAGGGTCTTCCTTTTGCTCACAATGATCTGGATTTGAACAGTTTAAAGTATCCTCAGAAGTCTCAAATATTTCTTCTTTGATCTGAATACTCTCTGCCTTTTTCAGTTTTTCTCTTTCTTTTGCAATTTCTTCTAGTCCTACAATAATTGAAAAGTATTATGAATATCAATTATTCCAGATCAAATAATACTATAATTATATTTTAGTACAGTTTATCAAATTACTAGTATATAAATATTTAACAAATTTTTCTAAATATATTAATACTCTTTAATTTTTCCTTTTTTATAGACCACATTTTTTGAACATTAATGTAATTGTATAATCATTACAAAAAATAAAATATTAAAAATATTAAAAACTCTAATACATAGCAAAAAATATTAACTTTTTTGTATATATTCTTCCAGCATTTCTCTATGCACACACATACATACTTAAACCTATACATTTTAAAAAGGCACTCCTATTTTATGCATAACACTTTAATATACTTGCTTTACTCTGTAAAGATCCTGATGTGTCAATAAATATATAACTATACTCTAAATGTTAATGGCTACAGAGTATTCAATAGAATATATCATAATTTAAATAATAAATCTTCCATTGATACCTCTTAGTCCCAGTTATTCATTAATATAAGAATGCTTTGAGTGATAAATGATCTTGTATTTGTATCTTTGGACTTTTAATTTTTTTCCTGGTTTACTTATTTAGGATAAATTTATAGAAAAAAACTTTCTGATTCCTAAGATCTGTACTTTTCAGTCTTTGCAATACACTGTCCACCTGCTCAGTGTTGAAATCAACACCCATTCATACCAGAAGTACAAGAGCATGTTTGCCCATGGCTTCAGTGAAACTGAACATAACACATATTTTCTCTTTTTGTCAATATCCGATAGGTGAAAATCTAACCTGTATTTTTTTCTGATCATTAGTAAGGCTGAATATCTTTTTATAGCTTTTATGGTATTTCTCCACTGTCAACTTCTGGTTCATGTTTTTATCAATGTATTTAAAAGTAATTTATACAAATTCTGTTAAAAATACAAATTCACCACTTTATTGTTTGAAAAGTAACATATATTCAAGGTAAAATATTTGGTAAAGAGAGGTATAAATTAAGCCAATTCTGCTTTACTCCCTCAGTCCCCATTTCTAGTCATTATAGATAGCCATGGTTCACCAATCACGTCTATATATCTTTCCAGAAATCTTATATGCAAATGAGACTGTCATTTTACACTAGTTCATTTATTGGGCACTACTATTTACATTCTGCAATTTAGAAGTGCAACAGTGTTGCATACTTGGAGGAGAAAGAGATTGCATTTCCTAAACAAGAATACATTCAGCTAAGTGTACTGAATAACACATTTCACTTTGGTATAAAGTTCCTTGGCATCCTGGAGTTAGAGAGGAAAAATGAAATACACTTGGTATGCTGGATCCCTCAACATTCATCTCCTTTGGTACCTCATGATTACAACAGGTGGTTAGGAGGTTCCTGCTGTTCGTGTTACAGATGAATGCATGGACACAAATGTCCATATTCTCCTGATTTCCAGAGGACTCTTGCTAGCTACACTTACAAAGAGAAGCAATTTTGATTCTCTCTTTTCTCCAAACAGCTCTAAATGTTTGAGGTACAGTCACGCTGTAAGCGGGCCTTGTATACCAGATTACATACAGATTTATTACATCATCTTACAGGCGAGAGGGAGTCATTCAAGGTTTTAGAATAGAGACATAATAGAAAGAGGGAACTATATATAGATAGAAAGAAGTCAAGGACAGCTGTAATAGTCCAGGTACATTGATAAAGAACTTGATTTCAGTAGTGTTGCAAAGAGACTGACTACAGACACTGTAAAGAAGTTGATGTCCCAGATAATTTTAAGTTCACATGCCCAGGTGACTGACAATGATGTGGCTCTTAGCCAAAATGGAGAATTTTTCATTGGTCTGGGGCAGTGGTCGGCCAATTCATTAGTTAACAGAGCCAAATATCAACAGTACAAGGATTGAAATTCCTTTTGAGAGCTAAATATTTTAAACTTCTTCTAACGCCACTTCTTCAAAATAGACTCGCCCAGGCTTTGGTATTTTGTGGAAGAGCCACGCTCAAGGGGCCAAAGAGCCTCATGTGGCTCGCAAGCCACAGTTTGCCACCACAAGTCTGGGGTATAACTGAGGTTTGATTTTGTTCCACTGTTAGCGTTTCGAATGATTCTTATGACAGCTAAGGTAATGCTGCTCATCTGGACATTGCTTTATTGGCTCTTAAGCTTTATCAAGGCTCTCCCACTCAAGTGACTCACAGCTTTGCCGTTTTAGATTAGATTTCTACACTAAAACCTTTTGTTTCACCCCTAAGTGTTATCCTACTTCCCCCATAGACCAAAACTTTAATTTCATTCCAAACAAACTGTTCCTCTTGATTCCTCTGAGTCAGTTTAAAATATCACAATTTCCCCACTGAGGATTAATGCATCAAACCCACTCTGATGCCATTTTCCCTACATCATGTTCAATAATTTCTTACAGCAATTCTACCTTTAGGATATATGTTTTCTCATCTCCTGTTTGTGCCTGAGTTCAGGGCCTCCCTCCTTTTACACAGGCTACTGGAATGGTCTCACACTCATTTCTCCATCCCTTCTTACTCTATCCCAGTGTCTACTTTGCTTCCAGGTTCTTTTCATGTAGTCCCCTTGCCTAAATTAGTCTCTGCCCTCAGGAGCTCACAGACTAGTGGTAGAGATTACCATGTATGCCAAACATTATGATAAAATATTAAGTAGGCTGTAGGACATTTCCCTGTTTTGAGCCCTTTAGGTACTTTGTGCTTACACCTTTGGTGGCTCTGGCCTTACTCTCTGATTTGTGAAGTCCTAACATTTCTTAAAGGTGCCTCTAGGGCCACCCCTAGATTGGAAAGTACATAGGATAGAGGTATGTCAGGAAAGGCTAAGAGTTCTATAAATACATCCACAAGAACAATGCTATTTTTTGTTAGATATTTGGGTTCTACATAAGATTGTTTTATTTAAATTAAACTAAACACACACACCCACACACACACCACAACAGTTTACCCATCTCTGTCACTTCTCCAGCAACAATCAATCTAGACACTTATCTATGACTTTTTGTTTGTTTTTTTTATTTAGGGAGTGGTTAGTTTGCTTTTTAAAAAAAGATTCCACATATAAGGCAGATCATTTGGTATTTGTCTTTCTCCAATTTATTCTATTTAACATAATGCCCTCAAGGTCCATTCACATTGTTAGAAATGGCAAGTTTCATTCTTATGGCTGAATAATATTCCATTGTGCATTATGTATATCCTTTATTCACTCATCCATAGATAAATACTTGTCTATTATAAATAATGCTACAATGAACATGAAGGCACAAATATCGTTTCAAATTAGTGTTTTTGGAATAATTGGGATAAATGCCCAGAAGTGGAATCTCTAGGTCATAAGGCAGTTAAATTTTTTATTTTCTGAGGTAACTCATAGTGGCTGCACCAATTTACATTCTCACCAACAGTGCATAAGGGTTCCCTTTTCTCCATATCCTCCCAACACTTGGTATTCCATTGTCTTCCTGATGATAGCCATTCTGACAAGTGAGATGATACCTCATTAGTGAGGGCATGTAGGGAGGCAACCAATTGATGTTTCCCTCACACATCGATGATCCTCTTTCTCTCTCTCTCTCTTACTCTCTCTCTAAAACCATTTAAAAAAGGAAGAAGTTTAATGGAAAAGAAGGTAATCACAAATTTCAAACATATACTAGATCTCAAGATGAATGAGGATTATGATTAGATTTGAGCAAGTTATCTCCAGAGATACTGTCAGATGGATGCTTGCAGCAAAGGTTAAAGAATAAACCACAAGAGCCGAAACCGGTTTGGCTCAATGGATAGAGTGTCAGCTTGGGGACTGAAAGGTCCCGGGTTCCATTCCGGTCAAGGGCATGTACCTTGGTTGCGGGCATATCCCCAGTAGGGGGTGTGCAAGAGGCAACTGATCAATGACTCTCTCTCATTGATGTTTCTAACTCTCTATCCCTCTCTCTTCCTCTCTGTACAAAATCAATAAAATATATTTTTTAAAAAAGAATAAACCACAAGAAAGAAAATTTGACAATGGGAAGGAAGAGAAATGGACAGCAGCTATAATATAAAAGACAATACAGGTGAAGATCTTTGTCCACTAAATAATAAAAAGAATAGTTTATGTTTGATGTCAGAAAGAACAGCACAAGAAAAATCATGGACAGAGAAGAAATATTTGTGAATAAAACGGGCATTATGGAGTTCAAAAGAAATATGAATCAAAGTTTTACAACATTTATTCACAAAACAAATTGGATTCTGGAAGCACAAAATATGCCGAAGGCATAATGACTTCTTACGTTATTTTGATGTCTTATATTACTATTTTGCAATAGATTTAACCACTCCTACCTTCACCACTCTCCATGCCTTCTACAAAAATCCCCCCACACTGGGGAAGAATCCAGTACCGGCGTCTGTAACGATCCTGGCCAAACATCATCGAGCGTAAAGAATGAGAAGCATCAAAAAGCTTCCTTCTGTACTGACTCTGTTGCTGTTAAAAAAAATGATGCATATAATTAAGCTATTGGTGTTAAGTGCTTCAAAAATTAATATATAAGTAAGTTTATACTTATTATGCCTTAGAGCAGATAAATTTCACCATTGGGAAAAGATAGTAGAACTAAATATTACTAGTCTGACTGCAATTTCAGAAACATTTATAAAGATCAACATTATTTTGAGGGTAATTGGAATATCTTTGATGTCATGGATTAAAAAGATAAATTTTATTTTATCACATATCTTAAGTAGCATATCTTATACTTGATGATAAATGTTATCAAGTATTTTATTGAGCCAAAGCAAACTGATTGAATTCTGTTGATTACAGTGTATAACAACTAATACTCATGTATGTTACTAACCATAATAGGTATTTTTGCCTATTTTTATTCTCATACTGTAAAGCTAGGCAACATAAGACAAAATTTTGAGATAAGTTTTTGATGAAGTTAATGATATACAGGTATTTCATAGTATTTTTAAAACTCATTTTTTTATCGTAAGGAGTTGATCTAAAGCTTCACTGATGCTACTGAAATTCAAGTTTTAATATGAGTACAAAATATGTATGGTTTATAAATTTAATTCAAATATATTAATATAAAATAAAGCATATAAGATGCTAACCCTATCATCATAAAATTTGACTGAATTTTAAAAGTAATTAATTCCAAGAACTAAAACCAGGCATTTGTAGATTCTGTATTTAAGTGAAGAATATAAACTGATTAAGGTTACTGCCGCATCTTAAGAAGCATGCTATTAACCTTGGCATTAAACTTTTAAGGTTTAGCTGAAAATGTTTCTAGACCTCTTTATTTTAATTACTTATAAAAAGCTTGTTAGAAAACTAATCTAATACAAGGCAAATTAAAAAAAAAAAACACTGCAAAAAAGATAAAACTGTAATCTAAAAATACTTACTTTACTCAGTTTTTCAATTTGCTTTTCTAGCTCTTCAACACTTGCTGCTTGGTCACCTTCATCCTATACATAACCAAGTACAAGTATCATTTACCTGTTCTTAAAATTTACTTATTCAATCAACCAGCAAATATTTAATGAAAGCCTCCTATTACAAAGTAATAGGATAGGTGCTATGGAAATGAATAGGAATCAATTCTTGCTTTCCATAAACTAATAATCTGGTAGGGGACATAGAACATTACACTGAAAGAAAAAACACCCAACAGTAGGATAAGGACTTTAGAGAGGTAGAAATTAGAAATCAGTTCAAGGGAGGGTGAGACCACTTTTTCTGGAATTCTTTACCAAGAGAGGCTATGTGGAAGCTGTGTTTTAATTAGCTACTGACGAAGTGGCTAAGAATAATTAATCAAAGAAAAGAGGATAGGGCATACCAGATAAAGTCTGACATATCTGGACATGAAAGGTACATGAAAAGTTAAGGTGATACGGCAAAGGTAAGTATAGGAGTGAATTGTCTAGTGCTGCAAATGCTTGGCCATGAACAATGATCTGATCCTTTGAGGGATGTTGAACATTAGAACTATGCTTTTCAAAGATTAATATGTTAATAGTTATAAGAGGGCCTAGAGCAGGGAAAGGACTAGAATTGGCAACTCTAGTTAGTAGACTGCTGCAATGACTAAAGAGGATGTGGGCCTTACTAAGGAAAAAGAAATAAAAAAATAAATATAAGAGATTATACATAGTTAGAACTGTTAAGTCCCGGCAACTGATGGATATGAAGCAGAGTAGGGTGAGGGAGATGAAGGAGTAAAATAGGACGCTAAGGGTTTAAATCTGGGAGGCTGCAAAACTACTGATACCACAAACTGAGTCATTTCTAGAGCAGAGAAGGTTAAGTTATATTTTCAACACATTGAACTTTTAAAAGAAAAAATAACCCCTACTATATATGGTACTGATTTAATTAATGGAAAGTTTACATGTGATTAAATGAAATTTTTCATTCTACAATATGAATATAGGAAAACTACCACCAAACTGTATGCTTTAGAGGAAAGGCACGAACAGAATTATATATGCCTTTTTGGATTTAAGTCGCATTATTTCATATAGGCAAATTATATGACTCTTCTAAGACTGTTCCTTTTACTGTACATTGATGACAACATTATCTGTAACATTTTTGTGAGGATTAATAAAAACAGATCTGAAATCAATAAGCAGAGCTGCTGACACATAATGTGTAAAATTTTTTTCCGCAAAATTATACTTTATGAGAAGATGCAGAAACTTTTTTAGGCTTAAAAAAATAAGTTGTTGTTTTCGATGTTCAATTGCTATAAGCATTTTACAAAAGCCACACAGCCACCAATGAACAGGTATTTCTAGATCAGTATGATTTTCTCCCCAATAAAAGGAAGTGAAAGGAAAACCTCAATAGTATCACCATTGTCTATCACTTATCCATTCCTTATCCAGACGTAGGGTACCAAGTTACAAAGGCATTTAGGCATATTATTTGTGCTAATGGTAACATAATATCTATTGGAAATTAAAAGAAATCTGAAAAGACAATAAGCTCAATGACCCTTGAATTTTGGATCTACGTAAAAAAATATATATTTTTTTATCTATCTGATTCTAAAGTGATAAATATTTAATAATTTGCTTATGTAAAAATATAAGTCTATCTACAAATACTGTGAAATAATACATCAGAGTTGCAAGGTATTAGCCAAATTAACTAACTGCCATTTCTAAAACTCTTCCCATAATCAAAAGAAGCAAAATGTCTACTAAAGTTTTATTTGATGAAGATTGGCGAATAGAACTTACAATTTTAAGAGATGTAAAGGAATTTGAAAGATCAGAGAGAAAAGCAACAACAAATTAAGAACACAGAATCAATTCTAGCTGTGGTTCTCCATTTCCCAAACATTATATGCCCCAATGTGTCAGAATTTAATTGTCTGCATAAACTCACTTGCTCACTTGTGAGCTTAAAACTCACATAGGTTTCAACACAAACCTAGGTTTAAAGGAAAGAGTCCATGTGTTGAAGGCATAAAGAGTGAGGAGAAGAGAAACTCATTTTTGAGACAAAGGGCTATGTCTTAATCAAGGGCAGTATCTTCTAATTGAAAGGGATCACGTGACTCTCAATGGAAAGGTTTCCTGCAATTACTTTTTTAAGAAGTATAACAACACTCTACCCATACTTTAATCAAGAGGCCAAACATACTTTTGGAGGAATAATGTGCCTATCTTTTCAATTAAGTTTATTAAACAGTTAAACTTTTATTTCTGTTTTCTTTTGTTAATCCTCATATGAGGATATTTTTCCATTGATTTTTAGTCACAGGGAGGGGTAGAGACAGAGAGAAAGAAACACTGATGTGAGATAGACACAACAATTTGGCTGGAACTGGGAATAGAACCTGCAACCAAAGTATGTGCTCTTGACCAGAACTGAACCCAGAACCCTTCAGCCCAAAGTCTGAAGCTCTATCCACTGAGCCAAACTGGCTAAAATTTTATTTTATTAGGAAATTAATAAGGGGCTACCAGTTCTACATTATAAAGGTTAACTCTCAATTAATTTAATTGAGCTAATTTGGCTTCTTAGATCCTAAACTATTTGTTATTTTTCAGTTTTTAAACTTTCTCATGATAATAACAATATTTGCTAAGATTGTCATCAATGAAATCCTAGAGTTGAACACATAAAGAAGCAAAATACTATATTAAGTGACACTTCCAGTCTAAGAAAAATTAATAATTTTTAAATCATTAATAACAATTTTTAATAGCATTTATCTCCCTCAGAGAAAAAAAAATGTGCGGTGTGTTAATTCTCCGTGTGGAAAAAAGAAGCCAGGCGAAACATCTAACATCTAATTTCTGTAAATAAATTCTAATTTAGTGGGACAATTACCCAGTAAAATACACTGGAATCTCAACACAAGTTTATTAATTTATGAGCCAACACGTTGAAACAATTTGTAATAGAAAGGGCTATAAAGGGAGGCCAATTCTGTGAAAAGCTGATTAATACTGATCAGAAATGTTTAATGCCTGCTATGGAAACAGCTCCACCTGCCAAATGAAGCAGATTGGTTATAAATGGCATCTTTTGTTTGGGTAATTACAATTCTAATACCCAAATTATATACACTTCACATTATTTTCCACAGCATAAAATTATACGATCAAGTAGTTTCAAAAGTACATTATGAAATAATTTTGGCCCGAAATCTCAATGTAGTCTCCTTTTCAGATTGTGTAAGGCTCACTCAAGTGATTTTTATCATTCTGGTTTAAAATATTTGGGAGGAGTTTCTGAAAACATTTTACATGTATGCTATTTTTACTTAAGAGAAGTGAGTAGCACATGATCTTGTTTATAAGTACCTCTACATTATTATCCAGATAAAGTAAAAAATTTGATTCAGTCATTTATCATTGGTCTTGGTTAGATATTTTCCAAGATTCTACAATAAAGTTATCCCTCTAGTCTAGGCCTTTGCTCTTTATAATAGTACTGAGTTGATGCAAAAAAGCACAGGAGTTGTTCTGGAATTCCTTAGCTGAATATTCCTGGCATTGAGTGCAGAAGGCTGTATAGTTTTTTGAGTAATATTCTGTAGCCCTAGAATTCTTTTAGGGTAAAAGATGAACTTCAGCTTTTCTCTCTCTTTACACATGTCCATTTCTATGGCTTATGGTAGCTCCCCTGAAAACTCACATGACATACTGACACCTTGTCTTCTTCCCTTCAGCCTGTTCTTCAAAGCTAGTGCACCATGGTTTGACTAGAGGTCTGCTGCACAAATTTCATTTGTTGGGGCCAGGGGGAGCCCTCATCCTGGCCTGCACACTCTAGCAAGCGCATCAAGCAATCTGGGACCCCTCGGAGGGTGTCAGACAGCCATTTAGGCTGATCCCTGGGATCAGGCCTAAAGAGCAGTTGGACATCCTTCTCGCAATCCAGGACCGCTGGCTCCTAACCACTTGCCTGCCTGCCTGATCACCCCTAACCTCTCTGCCTGCCTGCTTGATTGGCCCTAGCCACTTGACTGCCTGCCTGCTCAGTGCAGGTCATAGCAACTAGTCTTTCTGCAGTTTGGTCGATTTGCACATTATCCTTTTATTATATAGTATACCTTCCAATATCATTAGGGACCTTATTCCATTAATTAATCTCTTCATATCTTTAATCTTCACACCTCCCCCTCATTTTATTGACTCTTTCCCTTCAACCAAAATTCATCTCAAGTCTTTCTACATCTGAAAAATCCTTGGTCTTTGTCACCCTCTAGGAACTACCCTTTCCTCTGAGGCACAATGCTTGAAATAGTTGTCTTTGCTTCCTCACTTTCTACTTATTGTTCTCAACCAACCCTACCCTGGCTTCTGCTCTCACCCCTCTAATGAAACTGCACTGACCTCTACCAGTATGTTGCCAAATCCAGCAAAAATTTACATCTCCTCATGCCTTAATGTTTTTTTATTGCACCCTCATTTTTTAAATGTTCCGTTTTCTTGATTTTTATCATTACTACAAGTATAGAAAAAAGTTAACACTGCAGACCTGACTGCTACCCTTTGAAAGACCTGCTTACGAGGTTGGCACTTAGCTGATGTCTGGGAAGTTGGATTTAGGGGTTCCCTTATCCTAACTGAAAAAATCGGCTTACTAAACCTTACCTGTGCTAACAATGTGATTTATACTGCTTTTCTACGGGGAGCCTGGACTTTTGGCACATGCTACATGGAGGGTACCTTTGTGGCCAGTCCCCAGCAAAAGACTCTGGGCACTGAGCCTCTAAGGAGATACACCAGTACACAACACATCGCATATGTCATAAGTCATGCCTGGGAAAACTGCTGGGTGATTTCACTGGGAGAAGACTTACAGCAGCTTAGGCCTGATTTCTTCTGAACTTTGACTCACATGCCTTTTCTCTCTGCTGGTTTTGCTTTATTTCCTGTTGCTATAATAATTCATAGCCAGAGCATGACTAGGTGCTGAGTTCTGTGAATCACTAACTCTGGAAGTGGACTCGGGGGCCCCAGATCCCTAGAGAAATCTCCCACCTCTCTGTTCCATTTTCAACAGCAAGCCTTTTGGGCTCTTCTTAAATAGTGATGTTCCCAGGGATCCAATTTCAGTCCACTACTCTATTCACTAAACAATTCCCTTGTGCAAACTTATCCATCTCATGATTTTAACCTACTGTCTGTGTGCTAATAACTTCGAGATCTATATTTTCAATACTGAATTCTTCAGCCTTCAGGTTCTTAAATCTAACTGATGCAGAACTTCTGCATAGGCACCTCAAACTCAACATGTCTAAGACAAACCTACCATCATGCATGTCCTGTCTTCAATGACCTGCCTTCCCCTCATCCCCCATCATCTATTTATTACGTTCCTCTTGATCTCTCTCTCTCAATCGTAGCATGCAGTCTACATGCCAGATAGTTGGGAATCAATCCTGCCTCTCCTTCAAACTATATTGTCCACCCTCAAATACTACTCATCCATCCTCCTAAATACTTATTGAGTCCTTTTCTCCTTCTTCATCCTAACTACCACTGGCCTTGTTTCAGACCCTCACAACTCAACTCAACTATTGTAATGTCTATCGACTAAACTTTTCATCTCTGATCTTGCCCTACCCAAATCTATTTCTATCATCCACAGAACTACACAGTGAGCCACTTAAAAATCAAAACTGACTTAAACCCCTTCATTAGCTTCCTGTCACCAAAAATTAAGAAGTCCTAGTTCGTAGTTGGTGCATTTGAGGCTCTTTAGAAACCCTGAGGCACCTGTAAGTCAGTCCCTTAAAGAATATTCAGTTTCAGGCTTCTGGGCCCTGCTCATGCTATTCTCTCTGCTTGGCAAACTTTTCCCTGTATTTCTTCCAGGTTAACATTCAGCCCAGCTTGCAGCCTCAGCTAATGGGTCCAGAAAGCTTTTGTGAGGATTTATTCCTCAGAAAGGTTAAATGCATTTCCTTTGTATCTGCCTAGCACATTGTAAATATCACTATCAAAGCAGTTAACACTTAACACATTCTCAATAAGACTGTAAATTGAGAGGGGACTTTTAGTGCGTTATACATCTTTAATCAAAACTGCCTAAAACTGGGAATACATAATAAACTGGTGTTTGAGACATACCAGTTTCACAAAACCTGACAACACTTTTAAGACATAAATCATTTGTACAAGATAGTATGTCAACAGAATGAAAGAGAACGCCTAAAATTAAGAATTAGCATAGTTATTTGAAGAACTGTGAAGTCATTATATAAATAGAAAAACTTAACTTTTTTTATTCAATGTAAGTGCCTGCTATCTTACATTGAATATTTACATACTCATCACAAAAAACTTTAAGGTGAATATTGTAATACCCAGTTTTCAGATGAAGAGACTGAATAAGTAAATGTCAAAATGGAATTAAAATGCAAATCTACTTGACCCCAAATTCTGTTATTTTTCAGTGTAATGCAGTCTTAGTTAAATATTAAAATCAACCTGAATTTGATTACCTCATCTTCACAGGTATCAGTCTTCTTTCCTTTTTTGTCTTCCTTATCTTCTTCATCCTCCTCATCTTCATCGGCTTGGTCATCACTGTCGTCATCGTCGTCATCGTCATAGTCACTGTCTCCTCCCTTCCTTCTTCGCTTTCTTCCTGGAGTGGGTGTCCCTAGGGGATGCTGTTCTTCTCCGAGATCAATCCCACCTGCAGTGTCTCTTTTGCCTGTTTTCTTAGCATGAATGATTCTGAGCCTTTTAGTATTAAAAAAAAAAAAAAAAAAGATGATATGAAAGAAAAGGCTTCTTTCTATACTTTTAAAATGTGAGTTTTAAGCAAAAAATACCTAGTGGTATTTCTCTCACAGTGATCAATAAATCAATGACATTAAAAATTAAAATTAAAGAAATTAAAAAATTTGTTTCCAGAAATTCAAAATATATTAACTTTCAAGAATTATGCTAGGTGTTTCTTTGGAATTAGAACACATTTTAAAAAATAAAAGTTAGAAAGCTGAAAAGACTAATGGCCAAGTGAAAATTCCCCATTCCATACTATCAGCTGAATAAATTTCAATTCAAATTACCACAGAAAACTACCCTTTTACCAAAGAGGTTGAATAATTTTAGCATATTTCCTGGAATTAAGCTAATTAAGTCTCAATTCTGAATATATTTGGATATGTTAGACTGTCTATAAAAGCTAATTTAACTAGAAAGCAATGAAGAAAAAGGTATTAGCTCCAAACAGATTCTATCTGTGACAAAAGTCACCTGATAGCAACAACAACCTTAGAAAATGTGATGGCTTGACTTCTTTGAAAGAAAAAAGACAAATGGACTTTCTTCTAATTTTGAAGTATCTGAACTCAATAAATCTGATTATGTCTTTTGTTCATTGCAAATTCTGGCTCTGAGTACTATTCATTTCATAACTCATCATCATTTGAAGCTTTACCTTTTCTAATTCTTAGACAAAATAAAGTTTACATGCTATCTTTGCAATTCATATGTTTTTCTGGAAAACTTGTACAAAGGTAAAGAAGTATATTAATTTTAATAAAAAATAACTTACTTGCGAAGTTTACCTTCTACCATCCATTTATCTCTCCTCAGGTTTGACATATAATCAATGTTCTTATCAATTTCACTGTCAATGCAAAAATTTATTGTAAAACTTAAATTAATCTATTATATAAACATTAATATAGCAAGCAAATTGTAATGATTACCAATAAAAAACCATAAATGAAAAACTACATTAATCCAGTATCATCATAGCTAAGAATGTTTAGAAAACTTTAAATGTTTACCAATAATAGAAATGTATAGCTCTGAAATATCTGGATTGATCCTTTTCCTAAAATGGTAAGGAACTAAAAGTAACATACTAATAATTAAAATCTATAAAATAATGAATAGCAAGAATAAGATGAACATAGATTTGGTCGCCAAATTTTGAAATACTAGACTGGAGAACTTTGATGAGGTAAGTACTTTTTTAAAGTACAAATTAATACATCAGTAAACTAATACTGTCATGGTTGCATTAGAAGATTATTTTATTTTCCTACTTCTAATTATTAAGTAGCTGAATAATTCTCTGAATGAATACTTAGAAATCTTATCATCTAGCATCACAAGATGTGAAGAAAATGAAAAACCTGGATTCTTCCAATAGTGCTGGATTCTGGGACCACAGTAAAAGAAAATATTTTTGCATTTCAGTATATAAATAACAATTATTAAATGAACAAATTTTCTTTTTAACAGACTACAAAGAAATACATTAAAATTTATTATTAGTCACCTCTCAATGGAAAGGTTCAGTGTAATTTTAATTTTTTTCTTTGTGCTAATCTATAACTTTGAAATTTTCTCTAAGCAACCAGCATTCCTTTGTGACAAGGAAAATTCAAAGCAGCAAAGAATCACCTGGAAAGCCTGGCACACGCTTACCTCACTACACTCTTGCTGCACGCCAGCTCATTGATCAGGAAAGCCAGGGCTGAAGCCTTCTGTGCTGGGGTGTGAGCCTGGAAGGCTTTGGTCTTCAGGCTCTCCGTGAGCTCCGTCTGTCCACAGTGGGCTTCCATAAAAATCTGCAAAATCTCGGAAACATTGTCTCGATTCACACCAACATTCAGCAAATGTTCTCCGAGAGCTGTTTTGGCCTATAAAATGTTGACATTTTTATCAGAATTGGTCATAACCATTCATTAACATAAAACAAGATAATTTTTAAACATTGGTACTAAATAATCTAGACATTAAAGAGAATAGCTTTATTCATATTTATGATGAAGTGAAGATAAAAAATATGCAAGAGATGGTTCAAGTACTTGTAATATTTCTTTTCCTCCTTTAAAGTCATGGTTAAAAGTCCGATGGGGAGAAGAGTATATAAACTCATGGGTAGAAATTGTCTATTATACTTTCTTTGACCACAGAAAGTATACCAAACTTTTCCAGGCTTTATGTAGATATTCAGGGGATGGAGAGATTGGAGGTTCAAAAGCACTATTATTATGTTGGTGGCTCTATGGGATCGGGGGTTTTATTGCCTGATATACTTAGTAACTGAGAGATGAAGGAAAATTATAACAGATGCATTTGGAAGCTTCTCTCTCTAAAATATTACCTATAGCAAAGCTGACTGAAATTTGTATCTGAATTGGAATTAAGATAACTGAATTTAAGTGAGTATCATCACTGAGCAGTAGAGTCTTAACATGCTGGTCTGTAGGTGCCTTAATTAGCCTCAGTTACTCACAGTGATTCAGAGAGAAAACACAGTATAACTTCAATGCAAAAATTTATTATAAAATTTAAATTAATCTATTATAGAACTTATGTGTAAGTGCACATAAGTTCTAATTGCTTTATGAATTACGAGTTCAGTTTTGCTGAATATCCCTTTTCTTAAATCAACTTGTTTTTTGTGGAAAGTTAGAAGAAAAAAGAGTAATTTGTGAATGATCTCCATTTTTAAGCTTTAGGAAACCAATTGTAACCTGAAGCAAATCTACATTTAATGATACATTTTAAACAATTGGATCAGTCTATACAATCTTCTAATATGCTACAGTCAGCTATCAATACACTGATAGTACAAATTTAAAAAAAAAAATTTCATATTTTGTTGTTGTTGTTTTTTTTACCTTGTATCCTGTAATTAGACCTGGATCACATACAGCAGCTGAGAGGAGCCTCACAAGCAAGTCTTGCACTTCACCCATGCTGTCCCCTATATTTAGCAATCCTTCTTGAAGAACACTCAGGTTTGGAACATCAATATTCACATCAAAGCCCAAAACTTTACCAAAGTTTCGTAAGAACTGCACCACCATGAGACAGTCTGAAAATGTACTCCCAGAGAGAACAAGTCCTGGAATACGAGGCAGCTCTGGCAAAGGCTGAAAAGAAAGTAAAATAAAATAAATTCTTTAATAAATACTTACTGTAAGTTAGCTACCACTACTAAAGCATTGAAGGAAGTTATCTATACTAATATCACAAGATGGCCACCACAAGATGGCCAGGTGCACAGTGGAGACAGGGCCCAGAGGCTGCTCCACACGGTGAGGCATGGGGGTCCCACAGCTCTGCACGGCACAGATGAGCCAGTCCTGGCATCTCCACTACCTCACATAGACAAGGCGGGTTGAAGCAGGGGAGGGCAGTTGTGGGCAATCGGGATGGCAGGGGAGGGCAGCTGTGGGCAATTGGGCAAGCAGAGGAGGGCAGTTTGGGGTGATCGGGCCAGCAGGGGAGCAGGTAGGCATCAATCAGGCCAGCAGGGGAATGGTTAGGGGGTGATCAGGCTGGCTGACAGAAGCAGTTAGGAGCAACCAGGCAGGCAGACAGGCAAGTGGTTAGGAGCCAGCGGCCATGGATTGTGAGAGGGATGTCCCAGATTGGAGATGGTGTAGGCTGAGGGGCCACCCCCACCCCCCATTGCACAAATTTCATGCACTGGGCCACTAGTCTATATGTATAAAAGGCTTAGCAACCAGCCAACTGGCTGACCAGTTAGGAGGTATGATGCGCACTGACCACCAGCGGTAGATGCTCAACGCAGGAGCTGCTGAGTGACACAACTTTTCAGAGTGCCCTTTTGCATTCTATGATCCCCCATCTGGACTGCTGGTTCAGCATGATCCCTGCAGGCAAGGCTGAGGGACCCCACCTACCGAAGGACCCCACTCACTTCGCAGATGCCCTTCGAGCCCCAGAACTGCCCAGGTGCAGCTGGCTGAGGAGGGACTGCGGGAGGTTGGCTCCAGGATGTGTCCAGCCTGTCTCGCCCCACCGGCCACCTTCTAATTAATTTCCTTTCAATGTGCACGAATCTATGCACTGGGCCTCTAGTAGATTATAGGTCCTAATTTAAGTATCTATGGGACGTGGGGAAGTTAGATCTTTTTTACCTAAATATCTGAATATCAAATAGAAACACGGAAATCCTATCAACTTTTACAATCAATCTTTGTAGATTTCTGCAGCATTTCTACTTAAATTAAAAAGGTCTGTAATACTTTACTTTTATAGTAAGAACTTCTATAATCAGCACACTGCTCCAGAGAGGCTTATGCAGGAGAGGCAGATTGACTTTCACTTGGAATCCCATGGCAATAGTTAAAAACGAAAGCCCCAGTAGTTGAGCATTGACCTATGAACCAGGTGGTCACAACTTGATTCCCGGTCAGGGCACATGCCTGGGATTGTGGGGGGGTGTTCAGGAGGCAGCCAATCAATGATTCTCATCACTGATGTTCCTATCTCTTTTTCCCTCTCCCTTCCTCTCTGAAATCAATTAAAATAAATAAATAAATAAATAAATAAATAAATAAATAAATAAATAAATAAATAAATAAATAAAATATATATATATATATCCGGTAAGAACACAGAAAAAAATACATTTAATAAAATGGTTTATATAATAAATTACCTTTTGATCTGCTAAGCACATGTCTTCATTAGGTTTCTTTAGTTCCTTTGCAATTTCTAATTCTATTCTTCGTTGCTCTAGTTTACGCTCTTTATTTAATCTTTTCTCATCACGTTTTTCTTGCTTCAACCGTTCTTTTTCCTTAAAAAAAACACAACATGTCCATATATTCTCTTTAATCATTGTATGTGTTTGAAAACCTCCAGTTAAAATTTAAAAAGCGATCAAAGTTATTATTCCCAAGAACAGAATCTTCCTAGGAGACTTAGGAATAGTCTTGGAAATACATAGAAACAATTACATTGTTTTTCAATGTATTCACCCACTGAATTCCAAAATAACCATATGTCTGTATAAATATAAAATATAAATACTAGATTCAACCCAGATTATTCCATTATGCAAAATTTATTCAATCTTTTCTTGGGTTATAATATGAGAATAAAAAGTACTTATTAATAAACACAGATATATAAAATATACATGGGCAACTAAAAATTTATAGCATGAAGTTAACTAGCATTCACACAAGTTTTTGCGTAGCTCCAGGAAGCAAGGAGGATTTACAGCAGGAAAGTGGAAGCAACATGTTTGAATTTGCAAAAGCAGTTCTTTAAAAGTGAACGAGCTAGTTTTAACACAGCACCTGTGATGAAATAAGATATTAATTACCACTATAAACAACATGCTTAGAATGTAAAATGGGTTCTGAAGGCAATTCTAAAAACTTCCAAAAAATGTTTTAGGTAATGGCAACATAGAAATAGTTATCCTTTCTCCCTTGTTGCAGGGATGATAGTCTATGGGGGAAAGTCAAGAGAGTTAATATAATAATATCAGTGTCATTCCTTTATTGTCATACCTCAAATACTATTTGTATTTATTTAGAGGAGAATCATCAGGCAATTCTAACCTACCTCACACATCTGACAAATTAATGATGAGCTTACATTCATAAGGCTGATACTGTCTCTTCTTGATTTAAAAATCTTTCCATTTTCTTTATGTTTATTAAAATAAAGTCCAACTCCTTACTTTGAAATTCACTACTCTATTCTTTTTGAAATAATCATCCACTTTTATATTCTATGTCAATTTAATAAACTGTTTGCTATTCCTGATGGACACCTCTTGTCCCCTTACCTCCTTTTACTGTGCACTCCAATCAGAAAGGTCATTATTCCCCTCTTGCATATGTAAACCTTAATTAAACTCTGCCACCTTATTCCTATTACCAATTTCTTTTTAATTCTCATAATTATTCCCTATAATGTTAATGTCTTATTGTTTTAATATTTAAATTTTTTAACATTTTCATTGCTTCCTGTTCTATTTTAGCATTTTTGTTCATATCTTAACTCCATTTCAATGACCATTGGAAAGAGCACACTGACTGTGGGGGGAGCCACCCTAAGGGGAACTCAGAGAGCAGCAGAGAGGATATTCCAAGAGAAGAGCTGGGGAAACACAGTTTGAGAATTTGCTTCCAGTTTCAAGGCTGCAGCCTGGGTTGCAGATTGAACAGTTGCTGAATATTATGGTTCAGGGCCAGAGGCCAGGTAATGAGAGCCTTTTTATACAATATGCTCAAGTTAAAAATGTGCAATTTTATACTGCCTCTAAATTTCTGGGTTACTCATTCGTGCAGACACTTGGGAGGGACAAACATAATGGATGTCCAGGACTGTGAGTCAGACATCCCCCAAATGGGTTGGAGAGCATGCAGGCAGAGCTGAGGTGACCCCCCTTCCCAGTGCACGAATTTTGTGCATCGGGGCCTCTAGTTTAATAATAATATTCAGGCAATACTTAGGAATTAGATATTTATAAATTTGATTCTTTCCCTCAACTATATTATTGTAAATTACTCTTTCAGTTAGTGTAAACTTCATTTCTGATGGGTTCTTTTTTATGGTTTCCATGCCCCCTCCCCACTTTTTTTTTTATGCTGTTGAACTTCTCACTAATCTTCCTCTAAGTTCATTGAGCATCCTTATAACCAGTGTTTTGAACTTTGCATCTAGTAGATCAGGTGTCACCATTTTGTTTAGTTCTTTTTTTTCTGTTGTCTTGTTCTGCTCTTTCATTTGGGACATGTTCCTTTGTCTCCTATTCTGGCAGCCTCCCTGCATAAAGTAGAGCTGCTAAGTCTCCAGGGCTTGGTACAGGGGCCCAATGTCATAGATGCCTTATAGTGTCCAATGCCATAGCCTCCCTGTCAGCTGGGTACCCCCTCTCTTGACTAGATAAGAGAGAATCAGGTATAATGTTTACAATAAAACTTAGAAAGTGATATGAGAAATCAGGTACAACTTTCCTTTTCCTAGCTAACTCTGTCCTCGGAAAAAAAAACACACACAAACATGAATAGCATATAGAACAAGTACCCTTTAATCTGAAGTACTTAGAAGTATAAAAATAAGTATCAGATAAAGAAAGAAGGAATTAAATGAAAACTAACCTCCCTATATTGGAGCAATACAAGTTCTTGATAGGGCTGCCATACAAGGTATAAGTATTAGAAATGTCAGGCACCATACCAAAATATGAATCATAAATATTTCATAAAGAAATAACTTTACATAAAAGAACCTAAAGAAGCTGGCTTCCTGCTTTCATTTTTGCTTTCCTCAGCACTCCTGTGTATTCTCCACATAATACCCAGAGTCATCATTTCAGAAAGCAAACCAAGATTACATCTTAACACTATCCAATGGCTTCTCATTGCAATCATTATAAAGTCCAAATATGGACTTACGTCCCATATGCCATAGTCCCATATGCTCTGATTTCTGTCTACCATGCCAACTTCAACTTACATAATTTGTCCCTTATGTACTATATTCCAGTCATTTTTGTCTTTTTATTATTCCTAAACAAATGGTCTTTGTGTTTCTTATTTGTTGTTCATTGATAGATCAAATGTTAACTCATCAAAGAGGCCTTCCCAGAAAAACAAATTTTGCCTTTTTCTTATGCCTTTTCTGGAACTCCATTTTATCAACTCATTTATTTTATACTTGTTTATGGTCTTTCTCTACCCACATAGTAAGACCTATGAGGACAGCAATCTTGTTTATCTTTTTTACCTTTATATTGCCAGTGCCTTGATTAGAGCCAAGTATATAGTTGGTGATAAAAAAAAAAATTAGTTGAATGAATAACTTAAATTGAAAGTGGCAGCTAAAAGTGCTAAGAAAACAAATTGATGATAAAGTCATTAAACAATGAGTACATCATTATATTTTCTATATATGATTCTCTTTTATGAGCAAAAAAGAGAAACAATTCATAGACACAGAAAACGTGTGGTGATTGCAGGGGAGAAGTGGGTGAGTGGAGGCGGAAGAGGTATAGGGGAGATAATAAAAATAAAATTAATAAAGAAGAAAAAAATACTTTATTTTACTCTAGGTGTGTTTTTAAAAAGTTTAACTATCAAGGAACTGTAAAAACACACTATAACAACATACATCATAAATAATCTTTTATCAGAATGTTTGAGAAAATCCCATAAGTGAAATTTAGTTGTCAAGAACTTGTTATACCTGATAACTATAGACTTGTGACTAGGACTAGATAATTTTACCAGTTATTCTCTCAATTTAAATTGTGTTCTTCTGTTAAATGGAATTTATAGATCTGTCATCAACTAAGTATTTAAAATAATTTTTAAACTACTGTTGTGTGTACAGCACTAAATTAGATACAGTTGGGAAAACAAAAGAACATTGATGCTTTTTACCATATCAGAAAGAAAACTTCACAGTTTAAATATTTAAGCAGTAACGAGACGTATGTTCTTACTGACAATCCAACTTTCTCCAAATCTTTTACGTAAACTTGCACCTAAGTAAATACTAGCAAAACATTCTTATATGTACGTGTCTACTTCCTCATTATTACTCAACATTCACAAGATGTAACTACTGCAATGTCCATCATGAGTAATCTGGATTTCATATTCTGCCTCCTATTACTTCCTAATAGCCCTAGCTATATATTATTCTGTTAGTAACTATTAAAAGAACAAACTTCACTATAAAGTTAAGGCCATATGTTACCGAGGCAGAGCCAACTCAAAATCCTGAATTGATCAGAGAATAAGCATTGATTCTATACCTTAATATATTTAGACATTTAATTATTAGATGGTAAACGAAAGAAAAATAGGACAAAAATGCAAAAATGATTAAAGAATTATGAGATTAAAAAATAATCTGCTTTTACCTTGTTAATTAAAGATCTATAACATCTGAAATTGTACTAAGAAACTCTCCATATCCATCGAAGAAGATAACACAAACACTGCTTTTGTTTCTTTGTGTACATTACACCGATCTCCCTTTCTTTTTTATTTATTTATTTATTTATTTATTTATTTTAGTATTAACTCAATATATTTTCCACTAAAAAATAATTCCAAATTTTATTGGTTCTCTAATTTAGAAATCCAATTTTTATAGTTTTCCTTTATATAAATCTACAAGTAATAAGACTATGTAGACATGTAAATTATCTTCACCATGGCCAGTGTGTCTCAGGAGGTTGGAGCACTGTCCCACGTACCAAAAAGTTGTGGGTTCGATCCCTGGTGAGAGTGTGTACCAGAAGACAACCAACTAACTGATTGTTGTTTCTCTCTCACACTGATGTTTCTTTCTCCCTCTGCTACACTCCTCTCCCATCTTTCTAAAATCAAAAGGCATGTCCTTGACTGAGGATTAAAAATAAAATCTACAAATTGCAATTAAATTTTTTAAAAGTATATCTTAAAAAATAAAACATCTTGTAACTATTGTATTAATTTTAAATGTCATTAGCATATCATAATAGTTTATAACTATTTTCTTTTTTTAAAAATATATTTTATTGATTTTATACAGAGAGGAAGGGAGAGAGATAGAGAGTTAGAAACAACGATGAGAGAGAGTCATTGATCTGCTGCTTCTTGCATACTCCCCACTGGGGATATGCCCGTAACCAAGGTATGTGCCCTTGACCAGAATCGAACCCGGGACCCTTCAGTCCCCAAGCCGACGTTCTATCCATTGAGCCTAACCAGTTTCGGCTATTTTCATAATATGAGAAAAAATAATTTTTAGCCTCATAAATAAAACAGGTTTACTACCAAGTATAATTCAAATCATATAAAATACACCTGCTTTTATTATTACTAATAACCAGAAACTTTGGTTGGTTTAAACAGCATGGCAAAGTAGCTCAAAACCTCCTGTTTCCTTTATAAAACTTAAAACTGTACCAGTTACACATTTATAATCACTTTACACATATTAACTGAATAAACAACCATAGTGAATGCATCAGAGTCTTCTGTATGTCCCCCCAAGGATCAATAAACTACAAAAGGTTGTTAAAACATGCATCTATCACAGAATGAGTGTGTCAGCACTTTAGGAGACAAAACCATAAAATAGAAGAAAATAGTTGAAGTTTTAGAAGTCATGTAATAAACAATTTGAAATAAAAAATGTGTAACATCTCCCTCCACAATCATTCAAGTAATGAGAATATTTTATAATCCTATATTTATATTAATCACTACTCAGGGAAAATAAAAATATAAAGTTCAATTGCACATATAGACAGTTTTATTTTAGTAAACACATTTTTCATTTAAAAACAGTAAATATACTTATATGACATGCTTATATTGTACTTTTACTTTTATATTACTTAAAAATAAATGTAAAAAGTTTATATGAACTATAAAATAAAAAGTTAAATGGTATATAAGAAAGTAGGTTTTTGAAAGAACTGTTAACAATTTAAGTATACTAAAATCTTTAATTATCTTACTCAAGAATTACAGACAATTTTAATTTTAATTTAAGAGACACTTGTATGACAGTAACTATTCTCCCAGTATTTAAAGATGTTTAAACAATATAAGTACAGACTCGTGTGTAATACTTTGGTATATATTAAGAAAATATGATAATAATTGGTAGGTTTTATTATTTTAAAATATTATATAATTATAAATTACAATGTAAATAAATTAATTTATAATATAAATCAAACAAAATATATTTATGAGTCATATGATTAATAACTTTTCCATTTGTTTAAACTTAGTTTTCATAATATACTATTTTAGATGTAAAAATAGGCTCTTTTCTTAAAAACACACACACAAAAAAACAAACAAAAAACAAACAAACAAACAAAAAAAACCTGCCCTGCCCTGGCCAGTTTGGCTCAATGGATAGAGCATTGGCCTACGGACTAAAGGGTCCCAGGTTCAATTTCGAGCAAGGGCATATGCTAGGGTTGTGGGCTCTTTCCCCAGTGGGGGGTGTTCAGGAGGCAGCCAATCAATGATTCTCTCGCATCATTGATGTTTCTATCTCTCTCTCCCCATCTTCTTGTCTCTCTGAAATCAATAAAGAAATATATTTAAAAACAAAACTGCCCTGATCTACTCATACTCAATATGTGACCATAACAGGAATAAAAGGATATCATTTTTATTTTTTATATTTGCCTTCTATAAATGGCTTTTATTAGCAATCTTATTTACACTTTCATTCTTCCAGAACCCTGAGGTAAACCTGCATCTCTTAAATTATATTTATGTGTTTGAAATTTTAAGTACAAGTTGCTGTCAAAAGAAATGTATTCTCCTTATTATGCTAAGAACAAACACCTAAGAGACTCAGGAGAATTGTAAAATGCAAAAGACATAGGCATCTTTGCAACATGGTCTCTAAGAAATGTCCTGTTTTGCAATATGATGAGTTGTAAAATAACAGGTCATTCTACCACATTCATCGTTTGGGTTTTAAACTTCCATAATTCTAACACAGAGTAAATGTTATTTCATCTATTTGTTATCATGCTATAGACTTCTAGAAATGCTTTCATTTATGCTTTTAGAGTCCCAAATAATATTCTTGTGTGAGTAAAAAAACTGATTCCAAAAGTTTACCCTATGTAATTAGGGCTGCTTAAGATATTCTAAACTTAATACATTTGCTATCAGTGTTTCCACTCTGAAATGAAATTTAAATGACTTCCTAACTAACATTAGTAATGTTTTGGTACAGAGAATTACTGTACCAAAGATTACTGTAATTAAGATGCTAAAAAGATGTTTATTAATTTATAATATAAGTTGACTTATATTCCAAGAATCCATATTTACTTCAAGAATTTCTATATTTAAAAAACTGGACATGAGGGTGCAGAGGCATGAAGGCCAAAATAAAATTGGTAGGAGGCATACTGGGAGGAACTGAATTGCCTGGCATTGAGGCAAGAGCTGAAGGGGCAGTTTTCTTCCAGACAGAAGTGCTGACAGAGACCGCTGATGAGCTCTCACTTCACAGAGCTGGCACGCTGGCATGATTTCTGAGACTCCATCAACCTGGCCACACTGTTTTCCCTATCCTGGTGATTTCCTGAGACCCCATCCCACCCAGATTTCAGTGCTACCCAACTTGTTTCCAGTGGCTTTTCCATACCAAGGGCATCTACATCTCCCAGGCCTGGGTAGCCTAATGCAGTAGGTGTACTGTAGAGGCCAGTGGCATAGCCTCCCCAATCATAATATTTAATTATGTTCGTTTGTTTAAATCTATCTGGTCCCATTAAAGGAATATTTCTAAAATTTGTCTATAAAACTATATTAAATTTCATATTCTCTCATCAGCCTAACTCAAAGGAGGAAGGAAGGAAGGAAGGAAGGAAGGAAGGAAGGAAGGAAGGAAGGAAGGAAGGAAGGAAGGAAGGAAGGAAGGAAGGAAGGAAGGAAGGAAGGAAGGAAGGAAGGGAGGAAGGAAGGAAGGGAGGACAGGAAGGAAGGAAGGAAGGACAGGAAAGAAAGAAAAAAAAGAAGGGTCTGAAAAGGTAAAGCAAGCTGTTTGTGAGCCAGGATGGGAATCTGAGTAACTCACACTCCAAAGCTCTAGTTATAATGGCCAACTGTTTAAATGCAGAATGTATTCCTTTGTAACATATAATAATTCCTTTGTAACATGTAATAAACTTTAATTGATTTCTATTAAATTCAAAATAAGCTCATTTTGACTTATTTTGTCTGTTTAAAAGTCTATTTTAATTTTACCCGTGGGATGTTAACAATAATTTGGAGAGAAGTCCATAGTTGGAATGACTAGTGTTTGAATTAGGACAAACAGAACTTGTCTAAGCATGCTGTAATATTATTTTTGTGAAACTCTGATTACAATAAAAATATCTACTTTTATCTCAATGAATGCTATTCTCTACAATAAAAAAAGATACTTAAAATCTCAGTACAAAACATTAACACATACATTGGATTTTTCTTTGCACTCTTTTAATGTTCTAATAGTTACTATCTCTAATCTTTAGTTTGCTTATGAAAACCAGTTAATCATGGCAAACCCATACTCTGAAAAATTTATATTTAAAAGAGCCAATGCTTTTGGGAAAAAAACAACTAATTTATGATAAGTTACTATTTTCCTAGAAACATTACTTACTTCTGCTTTCTTACGAGCTTCCATAGCTTTCATAAGCATCATATGTTGTCGCCTTCTCTCTCGTTCCTATTAGGCCAGATAAAATTAGGAAAATAACTCAATGATTGCTAATTTTCACAGATTGATTTTCAAATGGAAAACAAAACAGAACAACAACAACAAAAAAAACTCAGTATAGCATGTTTAGCATTTATAGACAAGTCACAGTAAATACTAAATATAAGACAAGAATGGCCAGTCTGTGCATGTTTTAGTTCAGGTTTAGAAAGCAAATACAAGAACAATCAAAAGCAAAAAGGTAAAGCAATGAACATGGAGACAGTGTAAACAGAAGCATACAAGATTTACTTATGGTCAGTTGTGATGCTCCTTCAAAAGCTGGCAGAACAAAAAGCATAATGGTTGGCTGGAACAGGCCAGTTACCTTACATCTGCTATTAGAAAAACCACAAATATGTACTATAGCCAATTAAACTAGAGGTTATGTTGTTGTTAAATTTTTAGATCAGGCAGAAAGTGATTTATAATCACCTTAACGTCATGATTTCAAAATTATTTTCATTTCAAATATACTATCATTTTGTAAATCCAATAAGCCACCAACAAATTAAAGTGTCTTTTTTTTTTTTTAAAGCTTTTATACCAATTTAAACGAGTCGTGGTTCATACACTGACACCAATGAAATGGGATATTCCTATTTACTGATGTCTGCCACTTGATGCACTATTTAAAGCCACAAAAGCTGCACCATGGGCTAATAAGTGGAATTAAAAATGCACAATATAAAAATAAGGTAAGCATTGGCTTACTTTGACAATCTCATTTTCTTTAGAATAAAAAAAATCAGTTATAATATTTAATCTTTGTGTTTGTTTGTTTAAATCTACTTGGTCCCATTAAAGGGATATTTCTAAAATTTGTCTATAAAATCAGATTACATTTCATATTCTCTCATCAACCTAACTCAAAATTCCCATTGTATCCAATGGCAGTTTTGTGTCTAGAATGATGGGAGACTATGGGTCATAATTGTCTCAAATTGTATAGTGACCTAACTTTCACTGTGACATCAGTAAGTAAATTTTTAGATGGCAACCTTATATAAGGCTTGCGAAGTTCAAATAGAAATCTTGGCGATGGATCACACTTCTCGATAGACAGACAAGCAGATGTATGCAATGCACTGTGCTGTAAAGCCATGCAGCAGTATGTAATATGACAGCAGCCAGTGCTACACTTTATGCATTGCTATGACAACCATATATCACAACCAAATCACAATGCGGTGTTAGATGTACAAAAATAAACATACCCATACCATATCTAGTCTATGCCTCTCCAACTCCTGGTAGAAAGAGTTGGCACAACATTATGAAACAGAAATCACAGAGTCACGAAACCAATTTTTTAACCCCCCAAAAGACACCAATACCAAAGCAAGGCAATAAACTGTAAGATGAAGGAAAAACTTAAGCAGGAATTATATTGGAAATACTTTGAAAATATAATGAAGATTTTTTTTTAAAAATTGATTTAAGAAAAATGATAAAATGTACATTTCAACAAGTATATGAAAATATGTTTACAGACCTGATGCTTCAGAAGAACAGCTTGTTGTCTTCTCATTTCTTTTTCCTTAAAGATAAGAAACTTTTAATATATAACTCTGAGGGAAGATTTAGAGCATGCACAAGTATTAAAAATTCCTTTTCTAAGATTCTATAGTCTTCCATTAGATTAAAACATAAAATTGCAAATATTCAATCATTTTTAAAGTATGAAATAGCAATTTTACGTAGTTCTACCTAATACGTAAAAGCTATACATATATGACAGTAGCAAGGATCTTTATTCAGTGACTGAACAGCACATTTCAATAGAAGTTCATTGAAGTGACTAGCTAGATGGTCAGCACATGTCATGTCAGAAACAAATGGCACATGTATTTTTTTTAATAATTTTAATACATTATGTAACAACCTTCAAATCTAGCTGATAAGCACTCTCTACACTCTGATTGCAGATTCCCAAATACACTCTATAATTAACAGCAGCTATAACATTTCTATATGTTGTATGTAAATGAGACAATGGGATCAGTTTGAGATTTTCATGCACCATCCCAAAGGGATGGATCTTAAAACTAACAATTCTATGAAGGTCATCAATTTAAATATTTTTATAAAAGGTGAGATATGGGTAGAATGAATATTAAGGACAGCCATGAAAGGGGATAGAGTCTAAAGAACAAAGTAGGAGAGTAGAGTCTGTGTGGGAAATGTAGCAAATAGTTCCCTGGCTTTATAAGATACATTGTGATGGCTGTTACCAAAGCCATAGGATCACTCAGCTGTCCTGTATTTCAGTAATCAATTATCAAAACATTGGAAGGTAAGGAGTGGAACGTGTAAGGTACAGGTGTCCAAGTCTCTTACACTTCATGCCATAAAAATCAAAATCAAAACACCCCCAAAAAACACTTAAAATTACAATAATTAACAATGGCTAATTTTATGATGGTAAATACCAGTTGATAAAGGTTAGGTTTTTGTTTCTGTAGCCTTTTCACTTTTTTAACAGTCAAAACAGGACATTAACAAAGAGAAAGTTATAATTTAAGGAGAAAATAAGATTTGGTACACAATTTGAAACATAAATGACACATAATGGCTTGGGGAGGTCATTCTTATGCAGCAAAACCATATACAGGTGTTACATAATAGTCTGCACCTCTGATTTGATATCTGCTATTTAAGGAACTCAAAGTGCCATATAAAACCTGTATAATGAAAAATATATAAACATACACTATACATACAATAAAAGCACACATTATACACAGGTATCTCTACTAAACATCTTCTTAGTCATTTTGAGGACAGCTACTGGAAAACTATGATGTTTTATAGTTTTTATTTTTGAAAAACAAAAACTCTGATTCTCATCTAAACTAACCTTTATTCGTTTCTCGGCCTCCAATAATTTGGCATTTGCCGCTTCTTCCTTCTTTTTCTTTTTCGCCTGTGCATGCAAAACAGGTCTCAAAGTCATGCAACAGCACCACAACTTCAAAATAATCGCAGACTTGAAAATGGAACTACATGCCTCACAAGGTACAAAACAATATGGAACATACAGACAGTAACAGATTTCACACAGTAAACAACATTATAGTTAACATACTAATTTTATTTCTAATATATAAACATTAAGATGTACAGAAAATTCTTAAATTTCTAAGAGTATGCCAGCTTTTCTTCCTACTCTATTAAAAGTCTGAAACAGCCGAAGCCGGTTTGGCTCAGTGGTAGAGCGTCGGTCTGTGGACTGAAAGGTCCCAGGTTCGATTCCCGTCAAGGGCATGTACATTGGTTGCGGGCACATCCCTGGTAGGGGGTGTGCAAGAGGCAGCTGGTCGATGTTTCTCTCTCATCGATGTTTCTAGCTCTCTATCTCTCTCCCTTCCACTCTGTAAAAAATCAATAAAATATATTTAAAAATATACATATTTAAAAGTATGAAACAATTGAGTGTTTATGTTATTTTAAAATTTAATTTCTGGTTTTTAAAAGTAAAACATGATCACAATACAAATTAAGAAAATAGGGTAAATTTTAACAGATAAATACAGGTTATTTAAGAATAAATCAGTAACATTAAAAAATTTGCACACATCCACTTTATTTGAAATAAAAAAAATATTTGAAATCTGAGATAAAGAAAGCCATTACTCAGTAATGTTTAAATGAAACATGGTAAATTTGATTTTCCCTAGCTGTATATTGTGGTTAAATTCAAGGTGTTTCTTTATTTTTAATATGAAACAAAATCTTTCATGAAGCACATTTTGAATATCAAGATCATACTACCAAATCTGAGCTTCATTACCTTAAGTTGTTATCTATCTAATAGCTTCATAACTACCTAGTAGTTATTCTCAATTTAGTTTAAGATAGGAATATTTTCTATTGGAGAGGTTTAACTTATAATGAGATAAGAAATATGTATATATTTCTAGAAGAAAAAAAGCCTGTAACATAGAAAACTTCAGTTACCTGGAACCCACAGGGAATAAATTATTCTAGATAGCCAGAGTTTCCTGAATAGGTGAGAGGTTATAATGAATGACTTTAACATTAAAAGTTTATTTTCACTATTTTAGTGGAAGTAATTTTGAGACATATGCCTACCTGCTTAGACTTAGTACACTAAAATTTTGTGTTTCTTTCTTGATTACTCAGAACAATTATTCTAAACATTGGTTATTATATGTACAATTTGATAGAGTAATGTCTTTCAACTATTAAGCTGTTGAAAATTGCTTGCTATTTAACTAAATAGACTGATACTAGGCTTTTACATTCCTAGCTATGCTGGTTGGAGTTTTTCTGTGTTTTCCCTTGCTATCTTTTGGCTATTGCTCTTGCTGATGTGAAATATTGTCCTCTGTGGGGAAGAGAGATATATTAGAAGCCAGAAAACTAAGCTGGTTAAATATTTAAAATTTATTTTTACTTTTGTAATGTTTTATTTCTTAGTTAAAAGAAAACATCTGACTATAAAGTCCTGATGATTTTTCCAAAAGTAAAGAACATGAGTTTTCACACATGATCTTTATGACAATTTGTCCAGAGGTTTTTTCTTTTTTATTTCTCAGTTTTCATTGTTAAGATAAAATGGGCTGCTAATAAGGTTCAAATAAGGTCTTACTATTACATTACATTTAAAGAGAATTTCTGATGACCGTCCTATATAATAAAAGCCAGCAACTGAAACGGCAGAATGACCACAATCCTTTGCCCCAGCAGGCCCCACCCCCCAGCAGGGACTCTCACCCTGATATGGGGCCCCATCAGGGCAGGCTGGCCGGCCCCCACCCATGCACCAGGCCTCTATCCTATATAATAAAAGGATAATATGCAAATTGAGCCTAATGGCAGAACAACCAGAATTACTGCTAGACCAGTCACTATGAGGAACATTGACCACCTTTTGGTCCCTTTCCCCGATGGCAAACAGGAACTAGGGTCAGAGGTGGCGAAGGGCAGGGCCAGCTGTGGGCAGCTAGGGAAAATGGCCCTGATCGCAGGCCAGGCCTAGGGACAGTACCTGTACATGAATATCATGCGCTGGGCCTCTAGTATTAATATGAGTAAGAGAACCTATATGTGAAATTTTTGTTTTTGTAGACTTTAAACTAATGACTATATTACTTTAATTATATCAAATTTAAGAATACTACCTCTAAAATTTGCTGGGCTCGAAGTTCTTTTTCCATTCTGATTTGTTGTATTCTCTTAATTTTTTCCTGCAGGAAAAAATAGGACAATAAAAGATAATAAAGTGAACTAAATACCAATTGAAAAGTATGTAAGTGGAATGAAATAATTTAAGATATAAGTATAGAATTATCAATGGTTACTATGGTAGCTATAACATTTAATTATTTAGTTTAACATTACATATATTATGTTCATGAAAAATTAATGTGATGCTATAAAATTTCTCAAAACAATTTATAAAATACAAGTGCTAAATAAGTATACAGAAACTAGGTAAACCAAGCTAATTAGAATCATTTAACCTGTGAATGTTCTTAATAAATGTTTTCAATTATAATTAATACTTTGAAATAAATACAGGGGGGAAAACAGTGTATCAGGAAACAGAAAACCTTAGCTAGTTCCATTACTGTCATTCACTGCATGATCTTGAGCAAATAACTACTCTTGTCTACAAGACAAGCTTTTGTTATAAAAATTTGAACATTTAAGCATTGTCCTTCATTATTGATACATTAACTTTAAAAGTTTGATAGTTGTTCAAGATGACAACTCACATTCAAGTTCTATCAGGGTATTAAAAGTACGTACACAAATTTGTTTGGTGATCATTTTTTAGACAACTTGGAAGTAGAAGACATGGTTTAAAAATGAGGTGAATTTTAAATAATGAAAAGGAAAGCTTTCTAAATAAGATATGGAACATTAATATGAAATACTAGTGAAAATAAGATAAGTATTACATATACAAATAGATCACAAAAATAACACCTCGGTTTAAAAAATCAGTCCCAATGTGTAAACTTACCTGTTGTTTCATAATCTTTATCTGTTCTTTTTGCTTTCGCTTCTCCTCAGCGGCCATTATTGCTATGAAGAAAAACCAAAGCACAGATACCGTCAGAGAAGGAATGAAGAAGAGATGTCTTTCATGAATTATCCAGTATTTATGCTTCAAGTTCATGCTAGCATTTAAATCACCCACCTTGTTGTTTTTTAGCTTCTTTGGCAACCCGAGCCTGCTCCTGCTTTTGAAGTTTTCTCAAAAGCTTTATTTGTGCTGCTTGCCTGGCTATTTCTGAAAAACACAACATTGTAAAGAATATCATTAACAACTTTACATAACTGCCAACCTAAAAACAACCTAAAAACTCTGTGAAACTGGTATCATCAGGAAGACACACTTTTTAAAGAAAACGGCCTAAGGTTAGAAACGAAGTAGAAGAATGGTGTGGCAGAAAATGTCATGTTTATTTCCCTTAAGAATTGCCAATCTATTTCATCAAATGTGGTCCCATGCAGTAGGTCCTTGGGTTAATAGGAGATCCATTCCTAGGGCACGACGTAACGCGATATTCGCCATAAGTCGGAACCCACCTCACCTATATAAGCACCTTTGTCACTCACATGGAGCACATACACAGCAGTAATAAAGTGAAAGAGTAAAATAAAGTAAAAGAAAAATAACAATTCCTGACCTTTACTTGTGATAAATAAATAATAAAAAACATAAAGCACATATGTACATACGTCTAAATGATGGAATTAAAAAAAAAAAAAGGGAGATGGCGACGCAACCACAAAACGACAGACATAACCCGAGGACTGCCTAAATGAAACTCCCCCAAAACGATGCTTCTCTTAACTCTCATCACAGAGAATAATCTTTTCACATTTCTTTGCACATTTCTTTTCACATTTCATCTAATTGCCACTTAGTAGAAAAGTAGCTGCAAAAAACTTGATTTACTTTCAGTCTTAAAAACAACAAAATGTATAAAAAAGAAAAAGAACCCAAAATAAAACAAAGTCACCCCAAATTAACACTTCAGCTATATAAAGGCTAAAGTTTCTGAATCAAATGAAATTGTCATTTATGGAGAGAGACTAAATCTCATAAAAAATTAAAAAATAAAGCATAGAGTAAAGGACAACTAACTTAGTTCTCAGAATTTTTGAGGATAAACATATGACTAGAATAGGCTGGCATAACAATGTTCGCAGCTCTTCATTCCTCCCTCTATCCATGTCATTTGCAATGTGATTGCAGTTCCTCACATCAAGACGTGCAATATGCTTTCTTGTCCCTTGATTCTGAGTTCAGTCATGTGATCTTCTTTGGCCAATAGGATGTTAGCAGTTGTGATGTAAAGTGTACTTGAACTCTTTCTGCTCTTACTCTGTGCCTTGTCCTTTGGAATGAGGACATGTTTCGGCTCGTCTGCTGGAGGTTGAGACACAGGGAGCCAACATTTGAACAAGAACAGCCAAGATCAGCAGTGCTTCCTTATGTACCTCAAGCTGTTGTCATCCGCACATGTAATGCCTAGTGGTGTACACCAGTGACATTTTGTGGTTGATTGTTTCCCAGAATTATTGTGGCAACAGGTAACTGATACAGAAAACAAGTAACGTCATGCTTTCTCTGCCAGCAAACTTGGTTGGAATACTTCTAACTATAAAAGTGCTTTACTATAACACCAAAAATCATGTCAGAAAATACTTTACATTAGACATTGTTTTAAACTACTTCACAGATGAAGTTTTAAGAAACCTATATATTTTTCGAACACCATTTATTTTCACATAGAATTAGAGATATTTTAGTAGAGCACATTTCTTTTATTCTATGATGCATTTCTAGACATCTACAATCTGAATGTGTCTGATTTTCAATTTTAAACTGTCAGACTCTTATCTGTAGTCTCTGAGAAATTAGAGAGCTCTTATGTCACAACTAGAAGATTCGTGCTGGAACGGGCTTTTCTCTCCCTGGCTGCCAGCACCGCCTTTCCTCTCCGGCCCAGCCCCTTTCCACGCAGGCCCCGGAGCCACCTCTTTCGGCTCCATCTCCGCCTTCCCACTCTGCCCAAAGGCTCTGAGAGACCTGGGGTGGGGCAGACCGCCTGCATTCCCCCCCCCCCCCCCAATCACTTGGTGCCTGTGTATGCAAATTAATTGCCATCTTTGTTGGGTTAATTTGCATATAACTCCTGACTGGCTGGTGGCATAACGGAGGTCAATTTACATGTTTGTCTATTATTAGGTAAGATGCTTGAATAAACGTTCAAAATTTGCATTTATTTTACTCTTCTGAACCACAAATTAAGTTCAGTTTATTAGTCTAGGAGAATCCTAACAAAATATACTATGGAACAAAAATTTCTAACATCCCCTCAGCTTAACTACCCCAAACTGTTACTGTAGAAACCTTTTTGAAATAAATAATAAAGTGATTTGTTCCTACTTTCTTTTTCTCCCCCCCCAAACATGCATATTATACCCCATATACTTGTAAATGTTAGTAATAATTACTCATATATTATTTTATATACATGTTGAGAAAGTATACACACACACCAAGGTCAAAAGTAATGAAATTAGAAAAATGCAACATAATACAATAAGGGAGAACTATGTAACAGAATACAAACTAATTTGAAATTTACAAGGAGAAAAACCATTGGGTAAAAGATGAATAATTAACTTCTATTATAATAAAATAAAATTTAATTAAGTGTGCAAATATAAAATTGTCATTTTGGGCACTATTAATATTTGTGTTAGATATACAAAACATGCAAGAGGAACCCATGTTTAGGGTATCAGTTAATATTAAGCTTTCTTATTTTATGCAAACAATGCACACTCCCTACTATTACGCATTCTTCAGAAGAATCAGTAGTTTATTGGCAATATTGATTATAAAACTCATCATGTATTGCTATATCTGTTCATATATTAACTTTAAAAAATATCTTCATTAATAACTATTCAGGGGAGATGAAAACCTTAATAGAAACCACAAAAAATAACATATTAAAGAGAAAAATTTATAGGACATTAAGTTATATACGAGGCAGTGAATTGCATGCCATTGGTAAAAGTATGAAGTGGAGCAATCTTTTTGGAGGTAGTATTTGCCTATTATTTACCAAAACTTAAAATGCACATATCCTTTGATTCAGATATTTTCTCTCTAGAATTTTACACTAAAGGCAGCCATACCTATAGAAGACATGTGTAGCCGGGACCGGTTTGGCTCAATGGATAGAGCGTCGGCTTGGGAACTGAAAGGTCCTGGGTTCGATTCCGGTCAAGGGCATGTACCTTGGTTGCGGGAATATCCCCGGTGGGGGTTGTGCGAGAGGCAGCTGATCGATGACTCTCTCTCACTGATGTTTCTAACTCTCTATCTCTCTCCCTTCCTTTCTGTACAAAATCAATAAAATATATTTTTAAAAAAAGAAGACATGTGTAATACATATGTACTGCAGCCTTAGTTATGATAGAAAAGATCAGAAAACAGCTTAAACTGTCATCAAAGAGAGACTGATAAAACGAGTATGGTAAAGCAATATGTAGCATCACTTACTACTTACTATTTAGCTATTAAAAGCATAAGGTGGATTTAAAAGCCTTGATACAGAAAGATGTTCAAGAAAATTATGTGGGGGAAAAAGCAAGCTAATAGTATATATACGATATAAGTCCATTTATCTTAGGAATCTAAAAAAAATGTGTATATATATATGTATATATATATATTACATGTTAAATTGCATATTCACATCTACATTATATTTATGAGTATGCATGTATATATTTCTGGATAGATTAACAAACTTAATAATTTTACTCATAAATGTCTTTATTTTAAAGTGAGTGGGAATAAGTGTCTTTTATTTTATAACACTCTATGATTTTTTGTTATGGATGTTTTATAATAAAAACAAAGCAGCTAAAAAGAAGTTAATATTATAATGGTGTTTACATAAATGGAAATAAAACAGGCTTTTTATCCAGAAATATACAGAACAAAACAAAATAAAAAACACATAAGTAGTAAAATCCTATTATTCTTTTTTGTCAATTTTATAATTAAACCTTTATTTTACATTGACATATATGCTAATATATATATATATATATATATATACTAGAAGCCTGGTGCACAAAATTCATGCATTCAGGGGAGGTGCTTCAGCCTGGCCTGTGCCCTCTCACAGTTCGCAGGGAGCAGGCCTACATCGACAGCCAGATATCCTTAACGCTGCCACAGAGGCGCAGCTAGAGAGGCTTCTGCCACCACTGCTGTGCTCACCAGTTGTCAGCCCGGCTTCTGGCTGAGCAGCATTCCTGCTGTGCGAACTAACTGACCACCAGGGGGCAGCTCCTGTGTTGAGTGTCTGTCCCCCTGATGGTAAGTGCACATCATAGCGACGGGTCTTTCTGACATTTGGTTGATTTGAATATTAGCCTTTTGTTATATAGGATGGTTGTGAACTCAAGATACCAACACATATTTTGATATACATTCAAACAGTCTTAAGAAGCTTCATATTTGTAACCTATAATTCAAACCCTTAGCAGAATTATTTTAGTCAGCATTCTCTGTGTCAGATATAACAGGAGATATTCATGTTGACAATTCAGGTATAATTTAAAATCATAAATACATTTGAGGTTATTATGAGAACTTTATGCTCAATAAATGATCATTTTCATTGATCTTAAAATGAATACATTCTGATTTAAATATATTAGATGGGCATTTTGAAATTAGGTAATATATCCAAACTGCAGAGAAACCCAAACTAAAAGCCTCAGGTTACTGACCAGTAATTGGAGTTATCTGATTGAAAATTTACTCCACAGATCCACATATTTTGGTTATTCCCTTGTACCATCTCAAGGAATCAGGAGCTGTTAACCTGAGAATTCCAGAAGGTAGGCACAACCCTGAGCTGTGTGCCAAGTGCTGGTTGATTCCCTTTTTGTGTGAGCCTTAAAAGCTTATCACCCACCTTTGTAATTCTATACACACTGGGCAGGATGAGTTTAGGAGTGTAGTTCTTGAAAGGAGCTCACCTAATCAGAGAACTCCAGTTACCAGTGGGACTCCTAATTTTCCCATTTTTATTTTAACACAGATATCTACATCTTAGAAATTGAGAACAGCATCAAATCATCCTTAAGTCAAAAATAGAACAAACATACTTTTTAGTGTGAGTATAGCAGTATCAGATGCATTGTGCCTTTTACCTTGAGCTTGCAGTTTTCTTAGCAATTTGGCATCTGTGTTATCTAGAAACTCAGCACCGCCAACATTCGGAGGCCGGCCCTTCCGCCGTCTCATCCTAGACTCCTCCCTTGCCCGCTGTCTCTCTGGATTGGGCGGTCTTCCTCTACGGCCCTCCATTGCTCTGATGCGAGGAATGACATCCTCTTCGTTCAAGAGACACCATTGCATTCCCTTTTAATCAACATTTTAGAAAAATAGTGTTAAAAAAAATACACAAGTGTCCAGTAAGTCAGAAAATTCTAGGTAAATTTACAGACATTTTGACATGTATAAAGCAGGTATAATCCTTAAGAATTGTATTTTTTAAATTAAAATTATGTTTATGTTTGTTCATGGCCTTCGGTATATCTTTTGTATTCTAACTTTAAGTACCTACAGAGAACTATAGCTATATAAACAAAAATTATATAGACATATACACCTTCATTACCATTTCTGAATTATAATGACCATAACATTGGCAGATAATTAAAATACTAGTTGTGTGATGACACCTTATGGATTGTTCTCATGGGTTATTAGTACAGCCAAACACTAAGCTATTTCAACAATAGATGAAAGTATCTCTTTAGAGAAATCTTATAGCTAATAAATCAAGAATAAATGCAAGAGATAAAGTATCAGCAATTTGCAATGTCTGATGAATTAATGGATCTAAGCATCGAGTTTGCATGGCTGCCAATCATCCACAAGAGAGACAACCAGATAAGACATCAGCTTCCTGATAAGAGGTCCACTGCATCATCCCTCTATATCAGTTTTGCCTTACCAAAAAAAAAAAAAAAAAAAATCAAAACTAGATTTAAGCCTCTAGATTTAATGACTATAATTTCACAGGAAAACAGGGTGAGAAGTGTATGTTAAATTACACAGCAAAATCCAATCCATAGGAAATTACAAATTACCCATTTTCTTCAATAAATTTCAAGTAGTAAACAGACTATTAGGAGCCTATTAAACAATCCCATAGGTGAGTGTGGACCTTACTTATATCCTGATTCAAACAGACAAAGTGGTCAGAAAATTATAACAATTATAGGACAACTGAACATTTGAATAAAAACTGATATTTGAAGATATTAAGAAATTATTATTTTAAAGTGTAATAATGGTATTACAATACTCATGTAGATTACAAGAGTCCCTATATTTTATATAAATAAATAGAAATATTTATAGATGAAGTAAGGCATATAAGATTTGTTTCAACAAATTATAGAATAGGAGAAGCAGATGAGGATATATGTTAAACAATATTATCCACATGATAATTTCTAAAGATGATGGGTACATGTTGTATATTATTGTCTACTTTTGTGTCTATTTGAGATTTTTAATTATAAGTTTCCTGACAGAAATACATACACCAGCAGCTTGGTATTACAGGAATACTCCTGCTCAGTGTATAGATACAAGCTGAGTCTGATTTCCATTATTCTCCGTATGTCAATCAAAACAAGTACAATGTTATGTGGTCTTACTCATAGCAGTATGTCCAAAGTAATATGCACATGTATAGAAAAGGCATCCTTTAAAAATAATCCTTTGAAAAAATTGTTTTAGTATTCTGTTGCTTATTTTTTCAGAGATAACTCATTTAGTGTGAAAATTAAGGATTTTTTTTTAATGTTCTTCCTTCTTAAAAGAATCTAGCTTAAAAGAATTTAGCTTGAACCTCGGTAGGTAATTCTGCAACCAAAACCAATCAAAAATTCTATTTTATGCCATGATTCCTAACCTAGGGCAAGGTGTCAGTGAATATCTCATTAAATGGGTACTAAAGATACAAATAAACTCCTTCTACCATAGCTGAGGACAGCTGCACCTACATTCCAAGCAGGGTGTTTTATTTTATTCATTGAGAATACGTAATATACTTTCATCTTCACTCCAGCTCTACCTAATAAAGTGGTTTTGATTGTTCCTACAATACAACTGAGGGAATTCAGACCCAGTGAGGTTTAATAATTTCCCGAGGAATAGAGGCAATAAGGAACAGAACTGTGATCCAAACCTCAAGACTGTCTCACTCTAAAACCTTGTTCCTGACCACGACATGTACTTCACTGGTGTTACAAACATGTTCTTTTACTTAGTAGCTGATCATGATATTCAGACATGAAAGCATAGCCAAGATTATGTCAAGACAGAATTGTGTCAGAAAAAAAACTTTCAGGCATATAGTCCATAACTACAGGTTAAAAGTAATAACTATACTAATTTTTTTCAGTTAATTTCCAATGTCAAAAACAATTTTTAAAACTAATGCTGAGGACCCTAGCCTGTGTGGCTCAGTGGATAGAGCATCAGCCTGCAACTGAAGGGTCCCAGGTTCAATTCTGGCCAAAGGCACATGCCTGGGTTGCGGCTTGATCCCCAGTGCGGGGAGTGCAGGAGGCAGCCGGTCAATGATTCTCTCTCATCACTGATGTTTCTATCTCTCTCCCTTCTCTTCCTCTCTGAAATCAATAAAGAAATATATTTTTAAAATGAATGGTGAGGAAAATATAAGTGTTTTTTTTTTTTTTTGCTGAGATTTCAAAGGAAGTCAATAGGATCAGTAGTTAAATTAACTGTATATTTAGGCCATAAACCCCTTTGAAGGAAGCCATCAAGACAATTTTATGGTCATCAATATGATGAACATAAAGCTTTTGATTAGTTTAGGTTTTCATTTTTCTATTCTGCTCTCAGGCACCAACACAGCATGCATCACATAAATTGAGAAATATACAAGTAACATCTGTGGCACTTGGATTAGCAGAGTGTGTGTGTGTGTGTGTGTGTGTGTGTGTGTGTGTGTGTGTGTAGGAATCGCAGTCAGTTTTTAAAGTATCTTATTAATAATAAAACCAACTTTTAGCCAAGATTTAAAGGGTTCAATTAACCTATCTTTTTTTTTTTATCCAGTTACAATTTTTAGTTATGCTTTTGTTCATCAAGGAAAACATACCTATGTCAAAACAGGAATAGAATATTTTGGGCCCAAAACTTACCAGAGAAATAGAGTAACATTATCCCTTATATTTTGCCCTTGGCATTTAGAAAGTACTTGTTTTCTATGAGTACTACATATGTTGGGCTACATGTATCATCTGACTCCCAGGTTTTAGAAAATGAGAAATGGATTGTTAGAAAAATCAGAAGTTATCTTAACAGCTTTAATTTACTGAGCAGCCAAAAATAGTTGTGGGTGTTAAAAAAAAAAGTATTTTTCTCAATAAACTTTCCATGAAAAAAGCAAATGATATTTATATCGTTTGATTAATTTGCTATGACATTTTGTCAATCAATAATTATGCATGAAAATAGTTAATTTTTTCTTAATTTCTAAGAATAAGATAGCAAATGGTTCTTGAAAATAATCTTTCTTGAGTAATATTTAAAAGATATGAATAAAAAGAAAATCAATAATAACCATATGGACATGGTGACAAATTAAGTCTATTACACCATTATAATTCTGCTTTGAAGGGTTAGTAATTTAACTTTAGCAATAACACACTCAGTTTTATAAATATTACAAAGAAAGAAAAGGAAAAGCAGGTTTACATGTTGTTTTAGAAGATTAAAAATAATTAAAGTAAATAATTACTCTATATAATTATATAATTAAAGTAAATAAGTACTCTATATACTATACACAGTAATGCATTCTAAAAGTATACTAAAAGATTATATTATAATTTCCACGTAAACATTTGTTGAGACACCTACTCTGTACAAGACATAACATTTTCTAAAATTAAATTAGAGCAAGCCCTCTCCTCAAAAGACTGACATTTTTAACTAGACTTTAGGCTCAAGCTGTTCTAATGCAGGTGATTCCAGGCCCACAACCTGAACTGTAATGAATTGAAAGAGGAGTTTAGAGGCTGGAAGAGAAAGTTGTCTCAATTGTCCACTTACACAATAATGATGGTCTGGATTAGGGTCTGAGACTTAGAGCTAGAAAGGAAGGCGAACACATCAGCCTTTTTCTAGAGAGAAGACTGCCAGTGTGTGGAGGAGGAAAGCCTAAAGGGAGACCAAAAGAATTGGGAGTAGTCTCTAGACAATGTGGGAAAAGACATGATATGAGGTTTCCTTCCTGAACAAAGTTAAGATCCAACATGAAGAAATGCCTAAGAAAACTGGCCAATACATTTATTGCTTTTAGTCTTATATGCTTTAAAAACTAAATAAGCTTTAAAGGATTTATTTTGGGGAGAGAGCAGTAAGTGAAGTAAACCACTCCACCAAAAGCCAGTCCACTGAATGATCTATTTGCTTAATTACTGAAGATTTTTATTTGTTTAAGTTTTAGTATCACCAGATTTTGCTGCAGCAGTTTTCCTTGGATTTGTAGTCCTGGGCCACTGAGTGTCAGTTTCTCAAGTTAACAACTGAGAAGCCTAGTACTTCTCATATGCTCAATGTTATATAAATGAATGGATGAATTTTATTCATATTTTCCTGGATAGGGCCCCGTACATATCCCAGTGAAACAGCTCTTGTTGAGTGCTTTTAATCTGGGTAAGGTATCTGGTCTGATGATTCTGGGTTTGTTAGTCATTTAGTGAATTGATGGTTTTTATCAACTAATTTTTAGCTAAATGGTTTTCAGTAAGGTAATCGTGGCTCAAGAAAACGAAGTTAATATTTTTTTTACTACTTTTCTCTCTCTCTGACAGTATACTTTAAGAATCCTTTACTTCCTAATAATTACTTTATGAAAAAAAAAAAACTTTTATAATGTTATACCTAAAGGGAAATTGATCTTAAAGACCTCTTCTAATATATATTTTTCACATCATAGAGGAAGGAATTAAGATTTAGAAGAGTAGGCACTTCAGTTTTTTCAAAGTAATAGAGGATACAAAATAACCCTGCTAGAATGCTAAGAAAAATCTTAGGGCTTAAGCAAAGCAAGGGTATCAGATATTTTTTACAGAACTTAATGCATATTTTCAGAAACACATTAAAGTTAGTATCATGAGAAAAATAAAACTTTTTAAAAAAATATATTTTATTGATTTTTTACAGAGAGGAAGGGAGAGAGATAGAGAGCTAGAAACATCGATGAGAGAGAAACATCGACCAGCTGCCTCTTGCACACCCCTTACTGGGAATGTGCCCGCGACCAATGTACATGCCCTTGACGGGAATCGAACCTGAGACCTTTCAGTCTG